TGCATGGGCAGCCAAAGGCCGGCTCCTTGCGCTGTGGCTGATCCCCAGAACAGGCAGGACGGAGGCAGATGTGCTCCCTTGCTCCGTGCTGGTCTTCCTCGTAGACGTACGCCTCGGTTCCTGTCTCTTAGCCCTGACGCATGATGCTGTGGTTCCTCCCGAAGGTGAGCCCGAGACGGGTTTCACTGCATTGAGGATTTTGCTGTTTATCAAGTCTGATGTGCAGTTCAGTGGCCTTAGCTAAGGCAGACCATTAAGATGTCTGTAATACACTCTCCCTTGCTGGATCTTTCTCTACAAAAACCTTTTAAAGGCGAAAGCCGTAAGTGGAAAATGGTATCAGTCACAGGAACGCTAACTTAAGGTGTCCGTGCCCTGATGGGATCCAGCTGGTACCAAGGGAAACGTGGTGTGGGACACATGCAGGGCACCAACAGGTTTCAGGCAAGGAAGGAGGGCAGAAGGAAAAGCTATTTCATTTTTATTTGACATTTGAAAATTGAATTAATACCAGTATAAATTTGATACGTGTGTTAGCTTGTACAAGGCTGTAGGTAAAACCCTCGTGCCTTGTGACACCAAATCTGTATGCAAAAACCAAAACTGCACTGCAAGTTAAATTGAAAAATCACTTCTCTTGAAGTAGAAATGTCAACTTCTACTCCAGGTGAGTCTGAAGACAGAGGAAAGACCAGCAAAGTATTACACACAAATTTAGAAGATAGCTTCAGGATAGTTTGCTTCTAGTAGAACTAAGAATTACTTTGGGCAGCAGTGAGAAGGGTACTATTAAATAAAAATGTTTGGAAGTTATTCTTTGGCCAGAGAGATCCCAGAAGCAATACTCTGGCTCCACTGAAACCAGTGGCTGAATGGTGTTTAACTTCACAGAACTGTGACTTCAGCTCAACTCTCCAGTCACTAGTTATATGACAAGTTACTTTCCTCTTATGGTGAATTAGCTATAAATTTTAATCAGTATAACAGTGAATAAATTAGTGTCTCTTCTATAAACTCCCCCTTTACAGCTCCTATAGGCCATGGTTTCACTAATTAAAGTTCTCATTGGGTTGGCTTGACATCCTGCTGAACTGAAACGATGTCATTGCATATTGCATGTACATCAAGGGATGTTCCTAGATCATCATTACTTGACAGTGTACATAGCTTAGAGATGCACTGACTCTTAGTTTTTAAGTGAGACATATGGACAAGAAGTTCATTGCTGAAATTTAATTTATATTTCCATATTTAAATCTCAACCAAAGTAGATATCATGAGAGCTTCAGAGAGGGAAGCAGGATTATGGTTTTATTTTCTTATTCGGAAAGTATACAGCTAGTCCGTTATCAAGAAGGAACTTTTTGTCTCCTTGGAAGATGCTCTGACTATACTTTTCCCTTTTCCCCTTTCCCTTCTGTACTTCATGGTTATTAAAATGAAAACAGCCCAAGAAGTAAAAATTCATACCTTAAATAAAACCCTCTCCTTAAGCATTCAGTGTTAAATAAAGCAAGCGGTAACATCCTCCTTTTTGACGTTCAGAGCTAGACAGGCAGAATTGGATAAGCTCTATTTATTTGCATATATCCTCAGCTACCTCCACTTCTTTTTCTTACCACGTTAATACCTGGAAATGGGAACTGTTTTTATTTCAGGGTAGCAGGTGCTTCCTCCGCTGTTACAGGTCTCTTCTGTCCCGTGACACCAGGGATTATTTGAGGGAGAGCTAATTTGTCCAAGAGCATGCAAACAGTCTTCATGACCTTGTGCTCTTTGCTCCAGGTTGCGTTCTCTGCCTCTGTCTGACGTATAGTTTCAAGATAAGTGGCAAAACTCACCTTTCAAACCAAATTCGATAGTGGGTAGAAAGGGCAAGGGTTTAGCAGATGAGCACTATTTCCAATGAGCATTTCAGTGATAGAGGTGAACGTCTGGTGTAAGCATTGCCTGCCCAAGCCGCCTGTGTGCTGCGCTGAGGCCGCTGCCAGCGTTCCAAGTGAGGATGGGGGAGCTGAATTATTTGCACTTTCCTCCGCGCCTTTGGTGTAGACCCCCTGACATTACCGAGGGTGGGCAGGAGAGGCTGTTCCGCAGCACCAGGCTGGGACCTGGGCAGGAGGAGGCCAGCCCTGTGCTGAGAGGTGCTGAACTGAGCCGCTCCGTCGTCTGCCCTGGGGTACTGAGCTCCAGTGCTGGTTTTGCAGTGCTTTGAGTAGACCATCAGAGAAAAGGGAGTCACTCGGAAAGGAATCTGTAGAAATAGCTCCTTGTCAGAGATCCAGTCGTTTTGGAAATGAGTGGAGAAATTCATGGTGGTACATGCTCACTGATCCCCAAGTGAGACTAAGCAAAGACACACGTTTGCTTCGTCACCGGCGTAGAAGTAAGTATCTTCAATGGTCAGGCCTTTTCACCCCTGGCACTGCAGCAGCTGTGCAGACCCTGTCCATCTCTCCTCCTGCTGCTGGAGGAGTCCCTCTGTAGCCAGGATCTAGCAGGCTGAATAAGCAGCAGCCAGAACTAATTCAGATCATGCTGGAGCAAATGAATCTAATTATCCGACTGCCAGGGTGTAAGAGCTAGAAAGGAGACTCCGTCAGCAGAGCAGACTGGGGCCACTGAACACTAGGAAAAAATCTCCAAAGTGCAGAAGAGAGGCACTTTCCCACTCACCGCACCTGCATGATGGCAGAGAAGTCAGGTGGAGCCAGAGCCTCATGCTGTTGAAATGTTACGTCAAAGTGCCACCTCTTCTTAAAACCTTTGCTGATGCATATCAGACCTACCTTGGCCTGATCCCAAAAATACAAGAGGGAGGAAGAGCAGGGGAATTCCTATTTCCAGGTCTATCTGGAATAAGAGAAAATAAACCTTTCCTCCTGCTATGATAGAACTAATAGTAAAAGGAGAAGGGATTTAACCTTGCACATTTATGAACTATCATGACAGTGGAAGTGCAGCACTTGGTACAACAACTGACAGTGCCCTGTGGTATGTAAGCTGGTGCCAGCAGGTAGGTATGTCCTGTATCTCCAACGGCTACCTTGGAGGTTAAGATCGGGCATGGCCCGGGCATATGGAAGGAACAGGGTAAGAACGGGACAGTGGGAGAAAGCAAGCGGAGTTCCCTTTTTAGGTAATGTGACTAATAGCTTCTTTGGTGGGTAGGATTGTATAAAAATCTGGGCCTGTATAGCTTCTGCTCTCAGAGCGTTTAAATCAGGCGGTATTTGATGCTGGCAGATGGGGAGGGCAGGTCACCAACTCACGTGCCAAGCTGTAATCCTGATTACAGGGTCTAGTCACCTTTTCTGGAAGCCACTGTGGAGGTGGTGATTAGAGCAGCTTTGGAGACTAGGTTCAGAGAGGTTACGGGGCCATGACCCCGGAGAATGAGGTGTCTTCTGTGCTGACATAGCCTTTTCTTTAACGTCGCTGTGGCTGCTGTGTACACATGGGGAGGAGGTTGACATGGCAGCCTGACACCACCACCGCAGCGAGCCGGGCACAGCGCGAGGGGCTTCGGGCAAAGCACGTGGCCGCACAGCCGTGCCTCTACCTGTTCGGAGGTTGAAGTGGTGGGGACAGGAGGGTGCGCTGCCGTTCTGCCAGCCTGCTCGCACACCTGTGCCGTGCAAGCGCAGGGAGGCAATTGTTAGGCTGTCTAACCAAGCTTAGTGGGAAGTGTCCCACGTAGAGCCTTCAGCAATGCCCACCAGTCCAACAAGAATCCCTGCCTGGGAGCAGCGTGATCTACAGCATGAGAAAAGCTCTGCCTTCGTGTAGCTTAAGCGTTCTGTGAGTGTATTATGTGTGGTTTTTACTCATGAGATAAAATTAAGATTCTGAGATTCCCTTTTCTTTGATTTTTAGCCACAAGGTAGCTTAGGTTGCGTGAGCTAGTAAAGTTTGCGTCACTATTGACCTAGGTAAACCATCAAAATAGCAAGAAATCCATGTGTATCTCCACTCCTATTTCAGGTTCTCAGATCAGCTGTTTTGGACCTATTTCTGTGCATCAATTTTTGATGTACAGCAACAGAATATGTGGTTTCATTATGGCATGTTCATTACTCGGGTGCTGAGAGTACTCAGCTTCTCAGCAGCTCCACTACACATGCAGGCGATGACAGAATCTCACTAAGATCTCAGGCTTTACCACCTAAAATAGTCTCATAACATCCCTTGGAGACGTTTTCAACTGAAAAGCTTATTGGTATTGTGTAACGCAGAGAAAGAAGAAGAAGATTTCAGTATTTTCACTACGGAATTAGTAAGTGAATCCTCCTCAATGTCTGAACATATTGCTAAATGTGTTTGCTATGAAATCTTCAGCATTAGTTTTGATTAGTTTGAACCCAGCTCACCTGTTTAACTATTTTTTGTTTTACTCTCTATTCATCTCAACCACAAAAAGTATTTTTCTCACTGCTATCACACAATAATTTATCTCTACACATAAAAATAGTTTTCTTTATTACTGATTGTTTGGGTGGTTTATTGGAAGCTTAAATAATTTATATAAATCACTTCCAGAGAGTGCTATTCAGTGATATCTCATAAACGCTGCCTCAGCACAATACAAAAAGTTAATTTGCATGAGGTTAACCTGATGAGCTCTGGGACTGGCACATTCTGTTTAATCTGAAATGAGATAGAGTTAGTAATTTTATATAGTTTTAATTCTCCCATTAACATTCTCTTCTGCAAAGCATAATCACCTTCCTGTTGTTTGTAATACTGTAGTCCTTTCAGTTAGGGCTGTTCTCTACAGAGGAAGACATGGTGCCTTCCTGAAGAGCTTACTCTTACTACACAGCCAACACAGGCAAAAAAAGGGGACGCTAGAGAGTGGCGTGATTTGCCAAAGGTCACACCACAAGCCATCAGCAGTGTGAGAAGCAGAATCCGAATCACCTGAACCTCATTCCAGTATTGTATCCAGTGACCATGCTGCCTCTTAATATGTCGCTGTTCTTATTGTTCTTTCTTTATAGTTCGGGATCGGGTACGATCAAAAATGGAGAGAGATATTTTGGCAGAAGTGAATCATCCTTTCATAGTCAAGCTTCATTATGGTAACTATATTAAAATATAATTCATGTTTGTTCTTAAATTTGTTGGGGAATTGTAACTAGATGTCTTATAATTTCATACAGATACCCCTGCCTACTTATGACTCTTTCTCTAACAAAATCTTAGAGGCTACCTGTGTGAAATTCTTCATTTATGCTAAAGGAGAATTTCGGTATAAGTAGGTTTTAGCCATTCCTCCATCAAAATACATTTGTCATAGAGTCTAACATGCTAGATTGTGCTGGTGGGGTAGCTGGTGAATATATATCTGCCAACCCTCTCACCTGCTGTCAGGTATCGCTCAGAAAACCAGAGAATCTAAATTAAAAATTATTTTTAATAATCAGCACCAGTCTGAATTTGTATAAGTGTGTATATGAATGTGGTGTCTTGCTGGAGTTGCCTTCCTCCGCCTCACCAGCTCCCTGAGGAGCCCCGTTATTACTGTAAAGGGTCTTCCGAGAACGTTTTGCATAGTGCGAGGTCTCCCCTCACACAAACTGGGGAGCTTCTCTCTATGCCTAGCCCTCAGCGACTCCTGGTGTCTTGTGCAATGAAAAGCAATATTAATTCGTAGGTGCTTAGCATGGAAAAGAATATATTAGTAATGCATCATCTCTCAGCTGATACCATTTTTTCCCATAGTCTTAAGCTCAATTGCTTGGTCCTATAGAGAAATTAATTTTTTCTGTTCTCAAAGTGCTGAAATGACAGGGAAGTTAACGGCGCAAATGATACGCTGGTAGTCAACAAGATTAATTCTTTGGGGACTTTTATCTTGATTCAAACTTCCAACATCTCCATCCTTTTCTAATGCAGCATTTCAGACAGAGGGAAAGTTGTATCTAATACTAGATTTCCTGCGGGGAGGGGACCTTTTCACAAGACTCTCCAAAGAGGTAAGCTGACAGACTTTAACTTTGGAAATGAAAGACTATCCTGATTTCCAGAATTCAGATGAAGTTGGTGGGAATGAAAAACAGCCTTGGGAATAGTCCTACTATATAAATGTAATAGAGCCGTATCATCTTGCATCTTTAAATGTGTTCTTAATAATTGTATTTGAATTATGCCATAGGTAATGCAGCAGATAGCATGTAAGCATCACTGTCGGAGAAAACTGCACCACTACTAAGCCATTCCCGTAGCAAAATAGCCCCAGATTCATCACTCACAAATTACATCTTGGATGTGATGAGAAACGGTCTGAGAAATCAATCCTCAATACTTTTTGCCCGGGACACGGGCAGAGAACTGCTGGAAAATCACAACCGCTGCCAGCAGAAAGAGGAGATGGCCGTAGGTCAGGGGCCAAGCCCTGCGGCAAGCGTGCAGGCTGCGGGGCATCAGCCGGCAAGCGGGGAAAGAGCCGTCTCCCGCAGCAGCAGCTGCTGGGAGCAGGTTGGAAGCCATGCACCAGCCTGGGGCTTGGGGGTCAGCCGGCTTCCATCACCTCCCCGGGCTCCCATCCCTTCCCTGTCCTCCGTGAAAAAGGCAGCCAGGAAACGGGCCGACCTCGAGTCTCGCTAATGCCTGTAGGGAGCCGCAGCGGCAGGTTTTCTAGGTGCGTTTAGCACTCGCCCGTGTCTCCAAACGCCTCCTTGAGCCAGCCGTCTGCCTTGCTGGAAGCAGTGGATCCTCCTGCGTTTAGGCTCAGAGAGGGCTCTGCAGGCAGGACGGGAGGCTCCAGCGAGGCAGCCCCACCGCCCCGGGGCTTGTCTGCGCCCCGGCATTCTCTGTCACCAGCACCATGTCCCCAGCCCTTGGTCTTTTCCTAGGGTGTGGGCACAGGGGTGCGGGCAACCATCTAATGCGCAATCTAAAGATAAGATAGGGACCTTTCAAATGCCTTCTTGAGGGGAAGCTCTGTTCACTCTTCTTGGTTTGGGGAGTTACTGATAGACTAAAAAAAGCTGTGAAATCAGTGCTTTTATTCAAGAGTTCCCTAGCTTTTTTTTTTCCCATCCAATTTCTGGGTCAGTGACATGCTGCAAACTGCTGTGTGCACCACAACTTGGGACCCCAAGTATTTGCTTTCCAGGCTTGTTTGCTAATGTGAAAAGACAGCAACAGGTTAATTACACTGCCAAGTAATGATACTCTTGTAAGTACTCCATACACGGTAGCAGTTATTTTTAATATGAGGAAAAAGATTAAGGAAAATAAAAATATGATTCTGCTGTTTGTCATGAAATCAGGCTTTGTTAGCGAGGCAGTGTGTTGTTAAGACAAAGAGGCAAAGGCCTCTCCACTTTCATGGAAGAAGAGAGAAAAGTGTTCTGCACAATCAGGGAACTCAAAAGTGAAAGAGAACAGCTCAGATTTTGTACTCCTTTAAAACTTCACATTTTCCCCAAAGCTTTTCCCAATGCAATGCACTGACTTCTCTGCTTTATACTATCAAGGATGAGTCCTCTTAACTTGACAGCCCTTTCACGTACTTCTTTTTTCAGTGTTTGCAGCTCATCTGGTCTACCTATACTTTGCAGCTGTTTAGTGGAAAGGTATCGCAAGGGAAGAAGTTATGGGAAAACCTATACTGCTTGCAATTTGTTAATTATGGACTTGGTCGGACAGTATTGATTTCAGTGGATTTTCAGTCAGATCCCATATACTGCAGCATGCATGCATCCAAAGCTTGTCTCTGTCTTGCTCTATCTTTCTGAGACATCTGACTTTAACTAGGTATAGCTGTGGAGATTAGATTTTCCCTGATTCTATTAATTTCACCTCTTGCCTACATTATTTATTTTAAACCTTATAAATAATTTAAATTTATTTTGATAATGCAGTTTTTATGATTAGACCAATTAAATTTTTAGTCTGAGTTTTTGCTTGTGTATCCTTTTTCTTTCTAACCTTTGCAGTGATATTCTTAATTAAATTACATGACATCTGTTCTCTGAATCCTCTCTTTTTGCTCTCAGCCCTGTGCAGCTTCTCAGAGCACTCAAGTATTGTGGCTGCCCCTTTCCAAAAGCAGAGATTTAACTTTCAAAATAAACTCAGCAACTTCTACTGTAGATGTTTACATTTACATGTGACATGTAAATTTGTACTGAGCTGACGCATTTTACTTCTGTCATACATAGTATTCACACTGTGTATCCAATGTATCAGCTTCTCTTTCTGCATTATTATCGCTGTACTTATTGAGATTTAATTAAAGAGAACTTAATAACATCTGGGATATAATGAAAGCTGAACCAAAAGGGTATCTTGCCATCTGAGTTTTTCTGAGCTTAGTGTTTTTTCGATTATAGAAGTTTCTTCCCACTTAAACCAGAGCTTTCAGTGTTAGCAGTATCCATATCAGCTATAGAAAGGACACAACTGCCCTCAGTTCAGACCTCCTCAGGCCCTGAATGTTAGACAACACATCACTGCTTAGGGCATCTGCACTGAGATTCCTTGAACCCTAAGTGCACAGGGTTTTAAATCCATCTCTGAGTCTCTTCATGCTGTGTATTCTGCTCAGATTTGGAAGCATTTCACTTCCCCAAAGATGTTTCCCCATGTTATTTTGTGGGAATTTGGTAACCAAATACCAAGATTTTAGCAAATTAAGAGACATGAAACCAATAAGGGCTGCACTGAACGTATTGAATTCTGCCATTCATTGCTAAAGGCTAAGGAGTTAGAACCTTATTCATATTATTGTGACATGATGTCATCTAAACAGATCAAACAGATGAATGAGAGCAGCGTGTTTTAAGGAATGGAAGTACTAGGCAGATAAAGTTTTGTTTTATAAGGAGAATCTGGTAAGAATTGTTAATGTGAGCTCAGACAAATTATGGAAAATTGAACCTGATATGATGGTCCTTCCAGCATTCCCTGAGTTAGACAATTCCCTCCCCATATCTGTTTAACGCAAGCCAGCCCACCGCTGTCCAGTAAATAGACGTGTTCTTCTCTTCCTTCTCTCTAGGTGATGTTTACAGAAGAGGACGTCAAGTTCTACTTAGCTGAGCTGGCCTTGGCGTTAGACCACCTCCATGGTCTTGGAATTATTTACAGGGATCTAAAACCAGAAAAGTAAGTTAATGAGAAAGAGTGAACCAAAACATAAATACACGAGCTTTTAGGTTGTTTCTGCTCCTTGTCACGCTAGTAAATCAAGAAGTGCCAGGGGCTCTGCCTTCCTTCTTGTATGTGAGACTCTACACGAGACCCTCACCATCAGCAGTAGGGTCTTCCTGTCATATCATTTTAGCATGAGGCCAAATATTTTGACTGTGCTACAGTGTGATGGAGCCTCTGTGTGCCTGGCCTTCAGTTTAGTGAATGATCTCAGCGTGGGATTCAGATCTCTGTGCCTTTGACTTCAGTAGCACTGTCCTCCATTTGCAGCATTTAATCTGGCCTTCGCCTTCATGTGGTATAAACCGCTCAAAGCAACTCCACTTCCAGCTCACACGAAATATGTCATGGCACCATTCAGTTTTATTGTAGCCATTGCTTAAAGTAAATGAGCATCTCTGAAAACTAGTGTATGTATTAGCTCATGAGAGACACGATAATCAGGATTTTAAAAACGCTTTTATTAACAATCCAAAATATTTTTCTAAGAATTATTCTCACTTCTATTTGCGGCTATTTTCTATTCCTAATGTGGTGTTATGGAGCATTGTCCTTTCTCTCTTTTTCTTTGGACTACGTCACTAGACTAAATGACACCCTCAGTGCTATCACTGGGAGTGACGTGATATTGGTTTTCTTCTGTGCTACTTGCCTGGTGCTTTGCCTGCATCTTCTGTGCCGGCATCAGTAAAAAAGGCTGTAACGTTTCAGAGTTGCTAGCCTTTTTAACGTAATGGTGACCGTCATTTAAAAATATGACCTCTGAGGGCAGTCTCTTTGGCTGTTGCTTACACTTCTGAAGTATAACAGCAGAGCAGCCTTTTCCTTCTGTGACAGGAAATTCAAAAATCTGCAGCTCTTTCTTTGAAATGGAGTGCTATTGCTTTCACACTCACGGACAAAATAAGAGACCAAAAGTGATGGAAGGTGGACTTTGTAGGTGAGAAGTTGAAGGGGAGGAGACTATTTATCTACAATACAGTAGTATGTGATTTAAACTTTACATTCAATTTTACATTTTGGTTACAAAAATAATAGTGGTAGTACTTTATGAATTCATACAGATGTGTGTAACAAGAGCTCTCAATCCTTTGGGCTAGAGACCCCTTCGCAGGTGACCAAAATTTCCAGTCTTGTCTGTTTACACAACCAAAACTGAAAAACAGAGTCTTTGGCAAATACAGGAAGTCATCCTCCAAATTAAACTGGAGGGTAAAAGGTACCAGTTTGTTACTAATATGAAATGCAGGTAGGCAGCGGTCACACCATAGCTGCCACTGCTATGTGCTCATGCATCGTCTGCCAGTAGCAATTCGGTTTCAACTTTGTTCTGAATTGCTATTGTATTTATTCAGCATCAACAAACATGTACATAATAGAGTAACTCCAGTTATAGGTTTTCAGTTTTAAACTTTGTTTCTAGTGAGTGTTAGTATGAATCACACCTTACTTTTCTTTCTGGTGTTAGATGAAGCTGTTTTCAAGCTAACACATGATATATGAAGCTGCTATTAGAAGGTACCCAAATATGAGCCTGTATATTCAAATGTAAGTTACAGTGCTGTTACATTTATAGGCACATGCCATAATTTTTTACTTTAGGAGAAGTTAGAAACTGAGGAGAAAATTAAGTGCATGTCAAAACTATTCACTGTATTTGAGATACTGAGAACCTGATTTTTCAGAATTCTCAGCTTTAAGTGTCACTTTGTGTTTCAAAGCACATCTTTCACTGACTTCAATTGCAAGTGTGAGCGCTTAAAATTTCTGCAGACCAAACTGCAGTGCCTCAAATCGGGGATCAGTGAATTGAGAAATTAGAGCTCACTTAAGAAAGGAAGGTGTCACTGATTTGCCATTGTCACATAGAAGCATGTCAAAAAGGCACAAATGGGATCCAGTTCTCTGTGTATTTTTGTCTGAGCTGAGACCAGCCAGCCATCCCCTTCACTGTACTGCTCTGCTAAAATCGCTGAGTATTACCTGTTCTGCCAACTGAGGCGAGATTTCTCTGGAAGAAAACAAAAAGTGTCATCATGTAACTGAAGACCTTTATAGAGAGAGATTGCTGTGTGAAGTTAAGGTGGCAGCCCTCATTCTTGTATTTCCTAACTTTTGAATATATGGTTTATGGTCTTTGATGTATAGTTAAATAGATACCAGTGATACAGTTGAATCTGGATATAATTGTCATAGTATAAAATTAGTTTAGATGAATATAGCTATTATTGTACAGGAAAGGGAATGACCCAGACTGATATAACTGAAGTTCATTCCCGGGGATAAATCAAGGCATCAGTTTGACTGAAAACCATATCCTTTAAAAATAGCTTTATAAGTGCAAAGCCTATGTGTATTCACGCCTAGGACAGCAGAGCACGACAGCCTACAATTTCACTGGAACTTTAGGTTTAGAGTAAAAAAACAGGTACAGCAGAAAAAAAAAATTCTTTGCTGCAGTTGCAGGCCATTGCTCCTTGGCCTGTCCTCCTAGACTGCCCAGCTGTGCCGTTCCGCTCTCAGCAGGAGCCTCAGGGGATTGCGAGCACATCCTTGTCCTTGGACCCTCTTCTGTACCCTAAACAATCCAGTTACTGAACTCTTCTTCATCACCAGTCAGTCTTTTTAGGCGTTAAGTCGTTCTCATTCCTCCCCTTTGGTTTCTCTTGATCCGTATCTGCTTTGAAATGCAATGTGCTGAATTACACCCATGTCTTCAGGAGAAGCATTACCAGTCTGATTAGAGCACAAGGTTTACTCTATCAGATTTGCAGAACTAGAGATAAATTAATTAGTTTGTAATTTCCCAATTTTCTCTCTCCCCCTTTGTTAAAGATAGGCGCTGCATTTGACCTTCTTTCAATGTTCAGTGCTTTTGCTGTCCTCCAGAAGCTCCCAAAAGTAACTGTTAATAGCTTTGAGATTGCTTCAGTCAGCTCTTTAAGTATCCTAAAACGAAGTTCATCGGAATTGTTTATGTCAAAGAAGACTAGTTAGAAAATAGCACTGTTCAGACCACTTGAAAGAACCCTCAGTACATTAAAATTTAAGGTTCCACATTTTTTTGATTCCCTGAGCAAAAATCCATATTAACAGTTCAAAGCTGTGAATTAATTTTAAGTGCAACCAGAGTACATACTCTGGGAGTTGTTATAAAGTTAGCTATACTTACTTCAAAAAGGCAAGCAGTTGAGTTTTCTGGTTAAAGTCTTGTTTAGAACAAGCAGATGCTTCCCTTAAATTATTGCAGCCAAATTCTTCTCCTTGAGTTGTCTCGGTGGTTTCAGTGGCATCCCTTGTGGAGCAAGGTACTGTTCAGTCACACTGAAACCCATGGAGTTACTTACATGGTGAGGCATGTTTCTGTTTAAGAACTGCAGGATCAAGCTATTAAATATGGTAAATATACCAAAATGGAAAAATGAGAACTTATTATGAACTAGTATATGATGGGTATGTTATTTCTTATGCTGTGGTTTAAGGGTGTGAGTGACTTAAAAGTAACTCTGCCTGCTGGAAATGCACAGGTTCTTTTTATCTTTGCCTTTTCTATCTCCAGGTACCTTGATATAGTTCTGTCGTAGGGCCTTTGATTAACAAGGAGTGGTTTACGTTGTCGTTGTGGTTTAAGCCCAGCTGGCAACAAAGCACCAGGCAGCTGCTCGCTCACTCCTCACCCCTGGTGTGATGGGGAGGAAAAAATACAAAGAAACGCTCATAGATTGAGACAAGGACAGGGAGGGATCACTCACCACTTATGGTCACGGGCAAAAACCAGACTCAACTTGGGGAAAAAACAAAATCAATTTAACTTACAACCAATCAAATCAAAACAAGAATAATGGGAAGTAGAACCAAACCTTAGAACACCTTCCCCCCCACCCCTCCCTCCCTCCCTTCTTATGAAGTTTCAGGTTTTCTTCCAACCTGAAAATTTGGCTACAATTTCTGAAATACATAAAGTGTGGGTTGAATTTTCTGTAAAACTGAGCTGACTTGGAAAGAAACTTAAATCGTCCAAAAAAACCCCAGCATTCTGGCTTTAATTTGGCAGAACTTCACATTGATTTGGCTGTGCTGGAGTTCAAAGTGAAGCCTAAAAGACATGTCCAAATACTAAAAATAGAGAGAGAGAAATGGGAGAGAATTGCTTTGACCTTGATTTAAGACAAGATATAAAATAAAGTCAACAACTGATTACAAAGGCTTTTTATCCCTGTGCTAGAGTTGCAGCAAAAGACTACTACGGAGTTTGCAGTCCTAGCTCTACTATGAGCTTCTCCTGTAACTTGGAGTAGCATTCCCCTGCTACTAACTTAGCTGCCCAGCCTCTAACATGGAGATTTTCAGCCTTTATTTTCTCAAGGCATACTTCTAAACTGAGATCAGTGAAAGCAGTTTGAATGTTTGTGGGATGATCCTGAGGCTAAAATGTTGTTATCGTTTTGAAATAAAGAACAGGTTGACAATGACAGTATCCTGTAAACAAACTCAAACCTTAAACTGAACAAATAAAATGGAAAAATCTTGTAGTGAAGGTTGTCACTCAGTGGGATTATAGCCTAGTTTAACATTTACAAGCAGTCTACTTCTTACATTTTTATAATTTCAAAACATTGATTTAGAGGAAAGATTTTTCTCAAGCCTGGATCACATTAACAACTTCTCGTTCTTTTTTGCCTTCCACAAAATAATACTAGCCTATTTCAGATTAGCTGATCCTGCAAACCGTAGCTAAAGTAATTGTGATTGTCACAATAGAATTTCTATGGACAGTGTGGGATAAAAAGGAACTGTAAAGCAATAAACAGAGAAGACAGAAAGTATTATCAGATAATAAATTTGCTTCTACAGTAAAAGGAAAACTATTTGTCTTGTGTTCTAATTTGGATGCTCAGAAGCAGGTACATTGTTGTTTACTACTTAATGTCACTCTAAGCTAACTCAGAGCAACAGTTACCTTTCTTCTCACTGTTAGCATATTATTGTCTTTTTACATCAAATGTAATTTTCAGTTCATAACCACAGCGTTATAGGTGTTGGCAGATGGCAAATGTGGAAGCACCCAGCTGTCCAAAGGGTGCTGCCAGGGGCCACAGGGGAAGCTGCAGGCAGCTGGGGGCACTGTATAAAGGGGATTAGGGAACATGAGACCGAGGAGGGAACAGTAGATCAAGTTCTAGGGAATATAGGATACACATCCATAGGAAACCAGGACCTGTTCATTTTGCTGCTCATGCAAACACTCAGCATGAGAAAGTCTGTTGTATGCTTCTGGCTCACTTAACCTAAAACAGTATTATCAGTCTGACGGCTGCATTGGTATTCCTTCCATCTCTTTAGTGAGGGTAAGGTATGAACTCTCTAATGAGGGCACAGGTATGAAGAACATATATTGCAGCATGGATTATCAATGGGAAATCTATGAAATACAAAATCGATGTTTCTGGGGAAAATCCCCCAACCTTTGAATTGCATTGGTATTCACAGGGGCTTCGTGGGTGTGGGGCAAAATTTGGGGTGATTTCTGTGAGCTGTATTCCCCCTTGCCATTTTTCCAGATCCAGGTCTGTGGAGTTCTTACATTCACGCTCACTTCCACACTGGCAGGTGTTTTATTCTGTTCTCTTCTGAAGCACAAGCCTCTTGTTTAGGGATTGCAGTCACAAAAATACATTTAAACATGCCTGTTATAGGCTAGTACTTAAAAATTATGCCTCTTCAAGAAATCTGGGGAGAAAGAATGGAGGTAAAGATGCTTTTATCTAGAAGAAAAAGCTTTAATTATTGAACACATAGTAGTGACTCAGCTGCTGGCCTTTGTTTGATGAATTACACAATAACAGTCTGTTCTAAACACACAAATGAATGACAGATCATCTCTTGTCAATTATGTTTCAGTACAGAGAGAGCCGTTCACAAAAGTATAGCCCAATGTGTTTATTTCACTTCTGTCTTATTTTCTTCCTGAATAATTGAAGTGACTCTCCAAGAGAAGGGGAATATAAAAATAGCTGACACCTCACTAGACCATTTTGAAAAGAGAAACATACTAAATCTAACTAGAACTGCAGAAACAACACCCTCATTACTGTGTCGGCATTTATAGGCAGAAAAGTTACAAAAAAATCATTATTTTTCAGTTTCAATGTTCCTCCTTGTTTCCATCAAAACTAGCAATGCTTTTTGTGAACTACAGTCATTTTTCTCACAGAAATGTTGGAGTGCCTTTGTGAAAATAAAATATGTTGGCAGGTGGCAGACATGAGAACACTTGAACTTGGCTTCCAGGCTGAATTTTCATTTATGCTTCCGGACAGAATAAATTAGCAGGGGCTGAGATCCATGCAGTTAGGCTGTGACTGGTCATTGTGCTCTACAATCACTTTTATTACTTACAGCATGAACGTATCTACCTTTGGAGCTAATTTTAGGTCCAGTGAGTCCAAGTCCTGATTATTTGTGTGCTTGCCTTTATTATTATGAGAAGAGCAGAAAACCTGTAGCTCCTTCTCCTGCTGGAAGCAGATACTCTGCAGTTGTTGGCTTTGAACACCCTGTTTTTTCTGAGCTCAGTTTGCATGCCCACCTGAGCGTGCTATGGAGTAAGGAGGAGGCTCCCCGTACAACTGCCGCAGGCCATGTGTGCTTCAGACGTGAGATTAGACAGACCTCTGAGGATCATTTTTCTTCCTGGAGGCATAGAATCCACTGAGGGTTTGTTTACACATGTATTTGAGTCTTGCATATCTACTTAACTGTCTTAAATGTGTTTTATTCTTGTTCGTTAATTGTACTCTGTGCCTGCCTAATGTATAATGTTTGCTTTTTTGCTTTACAGCATTCTTCTTGATGAAGAGGGCCACATTAAGATAACAGGTATGTGAGGAATGGAAAACTTAATGTCTACGAGCTGATTTTTTTTCTGCAGTATGTTCCATGCATCTTGGTCTTTACTGGGAAAGAGTTTGCTTACAAAAACTCAGAAGCCAGCAGAGTATGAGTGTTGGGCTTCTCTTCTCTGGCAATTCGTCAAGCACCCGTGCTGCACAGCACGTGGAGAACATAGCATTTTCGTGGTAAAATTGTACTCTTGACTGATGTGAAGCATGCAGGCTTGACTGCCTGCCACCGTGGATGGAAGGATGCTTCCAATATGACTTCTTACTCCAGATTAAAACCTCTGAATTGTAACTGTGCAGAGGACACCTGGAAAGACATGCCTTTGCCACCCTGGAGGTGCTGTCTGGCCATCCTTTCTGCTGGTGTCTATCTAGGATTATTCTTCCTAATGCTTTGGTTACCTGACCAAGAATCCTTACCAGCATTGTCTTCACCAAACCTGAACTGTGTACTTCTGTTTCTTTAAACTCTCTCTTCTGCTTTGGTTCAGAACCTCTTTCTGAACAGAGAAAATGGGACACCTACTTTCAGGACATATTAACAAGTGCCAACCAGGCACTCCACGTAGGCAGGGCTTCAGCATGCACGTGCCTGTGGCCTTTCTGCACACAGTCAGATGGTTGGTGTGATTTGGTTGAACAGTTTAAGTGAGCAAAAGTGTAAATAATCATTTTTAAAGACCTAACGAGTCTTTTTTGTTCCAATTTCTTTAGATTTTGGTCTGAGTAAAGAAGCCATCGACCATGACAAGAGAGCGTATTCATTCTGTGGGACAATAGAGTATATGGCCCCAGAGGTGGTCAACCGGCGAGGACACACACAGAGTGCCGACTGGTGGTCTTTTGGCGTACTCATGGTAATGGAAAAGTTGTGTTTGTTGGAGGGGTGGCTGTAGGAGTGATCAGATCCCTCAGATAAAAAGTACTACTTTCAGCAATTAAGGGTTAATAGAAAAGTAGATGTGTGATGATTGCTTGATTGTTTTCATTGCATCAGCGATAAAGAACCAGCTGCTCCTGGGGGTATAGGAGGTAGCATTTTGCCCTAGATTCTCTCTCTTCCTTCTCCCAGTCCTTTGCTGTCTCAGTTGGTTACCATGAGCCACTAGTTTTTCCGCTGCACAGAAACAGGGCAGGGCAAGCTCAGAAGAGCACAAGCATTTCAGAAGAAACATCTTCCTAGTTAGGAAACAATTTCCCAAGCAGCAATTTTCAGATGTTAGGGACATCGTCTTAGAGAAATTCAGAAATTTACTCCTTTTTTTTTAATAGATTAAAAAGGACATATTTTAGAGGGCACTCTGGATGTTTCACAGGACCTCAGTATTTCTTTTGCCATTCATCTGTCGTCTTCACGTTGGCATTGCTGATTCTTGTTCCACTAATGAGATTCAGGTAGTTTTTGGACTGGTGGTGGATCTCCTGTAGTCTTATTAGCTGGTAGGAGACTGTAACTCAAAAATCTCTCTTTTCTCCTGCTGGGAAAAGAAAACAAATACATAGGGGCACCATGTCATCCTCCTTTCTTCTTCTGTTCCTTTTTGCTGTGTCTTGATTATGACTAGTTTAGGATGTTTGCTTTGTCCTCAGTGCATGCTGTTTTTAAAATGATGTATGTGAAACAGGTTTAAAATGACTGCTCTTCACAGGGGGGAAATCACCAGAAACAGACACAAACGTATCAATTGGCACAGAGGAATAGCTAGGAATTAATCTTTTTCTTACATGTCTTTACATCGGATTAACTATACAAAAGTTGCAATTTTTCCCCACTGTTGCTTAACCTTTAAGAGTCCTGCAAGCTGTTCTGGAGGTAGTTTAAATTGAATCAGTATGAGAAACTGTGCTAATTCATTTTTTATACATGCACATCAATGAAAAGTTATTTAAAATGCAACATGAATTTACCAAAAATCAGTCATGCTAGATTAATTTGGTATTTTACTTGATGAGATAACCATCTTTTTCTAAACAAAGTAAGTGGATCTCATGTGCCTCCATTATAATAAATTATTTGGTACAGTGTTGCAGGGAAAATTCATTAATTGAAGATGCTTATTAGTCCAATAATGGTCCAAAGATGGTATAGTACCTATACCATCCATGAGGGATGAACATCCACAGGGAAGAACACCACAGAGAGAAAGGAGCTGTTCAGCCAGAGTACCGTTGCCCCAAGAGCCGGTAGGAATAAACTCATCGTGAAATGTTGTTAGTCTGGAAAGTAGAAGAAAGCTCCCGACTGCTTCAGAAGTGACGCCCTGGAAAACACTTTCCAAGAAGAGCTCTGTGAGAGATATCTGACTACAGTGGAGCTGCTTGGCTTATGAGAAGTACCCGATAACATTCTTCTGAGCGCTGCAGTGTTTAACACAGGGATGCAGTGTCGGGAAAGTTTTTCAGAGAGGCATTGAACCCTCCTCAAGCCAGCCATCTAAAATTAGGTGTTTGGGTGCTAACCTGCTCCCTCCTGCATCCATCTAGCCTCTTCAGTCTGTGATGGCATTGTTGCTGAGGAGGACAAAGAGAAGATCAAGGAGCAGTTGTTTTGTGACACTGTGATTTTTGAAAAGCTATGTGAATGCTATAGGTTTTTTGAAGCCGTTATTCCCAGTGCCGTGTTATCAAGCATAGTGCTGTCCCGTGAGCCCAGACACCATGCATTTATTACTCTCGCAGGGATATGTCCAGACAACGAAGGTGATGCTGCTCTCTCCTGAAGTGTCTACCCAAGGTCTCAGTGGTCGACCCAAGGTCTCAGTGCCCAGCCACCAATGGGCAGCGCAACACAGTGCAGCGCTGCAGCTGTGGCTCACGCTGCACCTCACCATGGTTATCGTATTTCCCCTGCAGAATTAGGGCAGAAGCACAAATTAACGTAGCAGTGTGCTCTTCTAATACAGCTCCATTTCCTGTGGTATGGAAGCTATTTTAGGTAGCTGTATGTTACACTACGTACCACAATCCACGGAGTAGGTTTAAATTTTGTTTACCCTAAGTAGAAAACTGCCGCCACCAAAGGAAGTAAGGATAGGATGCAATGTGAAAACTAGTGAAAATTTGGGGTGGGGAGGGCCTGCATCACTGACCCAGCTGGTTGACAGCAGTTAATCTAAGCAAATATTGTAATTTATTACCTGAATTTAAAAGGAGTGGAACATCCTTATCTCCTATGGCCACAAATGCATTTGTGGATGCTCAGCACTTCTGAATCATATATGTTTATTCAGGAACATCAATAGGTTATGTCTCATATAATAAATATATCCCAACCCTTTAAATTTTTTTATTATATATTTACTTTTGGAGGATAGCTGTGCCTTCTCGCTATCTGTCTCCAGTTAAATGATGGTGTATTTGGTATATAGATTGCTTTTCTTTCACCTGCTAATGAACTTGGTTCCTCCCCCCCTTTTTTTTTTCTTGGGTTTTTTCCCCCCCCCCCCCCCATCTCTCTTTTCATCCCCTCCCCCAGGGAATCAATGTATTAGAATTAGAAAAGATAAGAATCCATATAAAAGGAGATGAGTTAAAGAGAGTAAAATCTTTTTAACTGTAAGCTTATGCTTTAAGCCTTTGAGTGGTACCAGACATCTTAGAGAAAAATAGCTCTTATCTGTTCAATCTTTTTTTCCTTTTTAACAATTAACTGGTTGGAGTAGAAAAAGGGTATTTCCATACACTGAAAGTGCAGGAGAATTTTCTGATGCTGTCTTTCACTCTGCTCATTTCTCCTTGTTTTCCTTGCTCTGTCACTTGTATGTTCTATTACGGAAGCTGTTTTTCTGCCAGTGTGAAAAACTGAAGAGAATTAATGGTATCCAATTGATTTATTAGCATTTCTCTCTAAGTAATTTGCAGTATGTTGTGAAGTATACAAAGAAAATATACCAGTTGGTGGAATATGCATAGATTGAAAGGAAGTGAATGTGATAGTCTAATTTTCATACCTAAAATTTTGATCAAAAGAGGGAACATATTAGGCAGATAGTGATAAAATGGCCTGTAACCTAGCCATCAGAAGAGCAGCCAAACAATATCTTGTCTGTTCTGTTCTGTGAAGAGGGATTAATGCTACAGTGTGAAGAGTCAGGCTGTGCTATCAGCTCCTTGCCAACCTGCATTGACCGACGCACAGGCTGGAATCAAACTGAATGATCCTTGAAGGCAACCTTAAATGTGGCATGTTGTGATTACTAATATCAAAACAAACTTACCTGAAAAAACCCTAAATTCTGGTCTTGACTTATTAATTAATTATGTTAGTAATTATTTTATTAATTATTATTCAGTGGGAGTTTTACTATCCACAACAGTAAAATTTCATTTACCACCAGCTAAGTCTTTGACACAGGCCACAGAACTAAAACTGTTATCTGCTCTGTTCATTTGCTGCTCAGTTTGTTTGAATTGTTTTATGGTAGCTTAGCATGTGTCAACAGGTATAGTTATACACATCTTGAAATTCACCCTTTCCAAGCATTCCAGAGGACAATACCTGCGTTTCATTTAGTCCTAATTGGGACCCGATTAAAATTTTGTGCTGGTGAGTTTATGTGGTTTATCATGACTGGACAGATTTCATTTTCTGCCTTCCTGCATCTTACTCATTGCATTGGAGATTTTGGATAGGACATATTCTACGAAAGCTTTGCATCAAGAGATCTGTATGAACAAGCGATTGACTTAAATGGTTAAAAAGTTGCGTATATGACTAATACCTTTTCAGCTGTGCTGCAAGAGCCTCAATGCCCACACTGCCATCTCTGAAGCCCAGATAAACCGGTCTGCACGATATAAAATGCACAATCCTCTCTGAAGGGCTCTCAAAGCAGTGGGTTAGTAGTTCATGGTACCAGCTGATTTACAAGGCCACAGACCTCACGGAAGTTGTATCTGTTTCAGTTCAGCAAAAAACCACTGTACACCTTTGAGAGTCATGTGAGCAGAGAGGGGAACATAACTAGAGAAAGAAGGGGTGTGATGACTCAGTAGGTAGTCCCAAATAGAAAGAAATGTGTTTATATTTGTCAGCAACGTAGTGAATGTGTAAGGAGTGAAGTCTTCATGAGAGAAGAAAATATCCCTTTGGTATCCAGACAGTGTAGACAGCTCTGTAGTAATTTTGTAGTAACTGTACAGTGGCATTGGAAAAATCAATACGAGACATCAAAGCAATACAATCTTCTTTTACAAAATCCCATCGTAACACTTGTTTTATTCCCAGTGCAAGAGATGGTCTTCATGAACAGTATTCTGAATGTTTATGCTAGCTGCTATGTGAAGGTGTTCAAACCCTTTGCAAACACTAATTCATTATGCTTCACGCCTGGCTAATAATGAAAAATACTTAATGCATTTTACAAATGATAAAACTGCGTCGCTGACCAGCTCCCAGTTACCCGAAAATGACTGGAAGTGTTGAGAGGCGAACCTGGCCGTTCTGACAAGAGTGTCTCTCTCTGCTTTTCAAACCTGAGTGGTACCAAGGTTCTTTGTAACCCTGAATTTTATCCTAGAGTCACACTACTTTAGCAGACTTGGGCTATAATAATTTGCACAATCTGCTCTCCTTCCATCTGCTGGGAAGATTCATCTGGCAATTATCCCAGGCTATGGATTTTTCCTCGTTCATTATCTTCCTCAGTGACCTACCAGGGTCGCTTCTTAAATCCATTCCCTCAGGCAATGGGGCCCTCTTTCCCAAGGCCTTCCCACATGTATATCTTCTGGGGTCTCCAGTGCTGGTGGTTCGCCTGCTGAAATGGGCAATTGCCCTGAAAACTAGAGAAAGGAAGCACTGCAGAGTACGTTCTCTTAATAGGCAGCTGAACTGGAACAGGGAATATTTGCCTTTCGTGCTGAATATTGGTACAGGAAGGGTTGGAGGGAGGCACAGGCTTCTGAAGTGCTGGCTAACAGAAGGTGGCCCTCCAGAATACCCAGGAAGCAAATCATTGGGAGGCAAGGAGCAAACAGATGGTTTCTACAGATGGGGAGGTGTGGAGAGTGAAAACTGAGTCTCCCGGCAAAACTATAGGGTCTGCTTTAATAGCCAAAAATACTACAGAGTTTCTTCATACCTAGGCTCAGCTCCTTGTCAACTTGTAGTGACCCATACAACTCTGTATTTATGTGCAAGGGTGTTAGCAGCAAGTTCTCACTTCTGTTTGCATGTTTACATTTAGCAAGATTTTTTTTTTTTTTTAAATAAGCAGGAAAACAAGTTGTTGTGCAGTAAAGCAGTAGCTTTAACTGATGAGATGAACTATTTCAATTTGTATTTTTTTTTCAGTCTTGTTATTTCATTTTTAACCTGCAACAGATTTAATCATGACTGCACTTGAGAAACCAGTGCTTTCTTCCAGCTGCTGCTTGTTGAGTTCATTGAAGTAAAAAGACATTTAACTCGTGTAGCTGCCTTTCACTTTAAATACTGATGTATTTAAGTGCATTTCTTCTGAATCTGAATTAATGTCAACATTAGACCTACATAACTGGGAGACATGTGGTAACAAAGCGCTAGCCGTTAGAGCAGTGCAGTAAATGTTGCCTGCAGCCTCCAGGATGGTCATTTCCCCTGCTCCCTCCTGCAACTTAAATTGCTTTTTTCCTTCCTTCCTTCCCTCTTGGACACTGCATCTGAATTTCTTTTATCTGTATCATCTGCATCAGCTGTGTCAAGCCCATTTCTGCCAAAATAAACGAGCTGTAGCAGTCATTGTTAGTGCTGTTAAATTAAATTTATTACAACAAAGTAATGTGGGCAAATGTAAGTGAACATTAGGTACTTGCCCTGAACATAAACTCTTTAGAAATCATGAGGAGGGTTTGGTACAATACGTACCACTTCTGCTGCTGATCTGGGAAGCAATGTTCTCTGCCCCTCATCCCCAGTATATCTGAACACTTTTATCAGGACTAAGGCTCTAATAGGTCAGCATTACTTTGCAAATGGTGCTTCAGTTCCAGTGTCATTTAGGCAGTCTTAAAAATTCTTCCCCATCGTGTTTGTCTCTAGAGGATGAGCTGCTTTCCTCCAGCTCTACAGAGCAGTTCTTAACTCTCCTGGACCAAGCAGGAGTTAACACATTTGTGTTGTCCAAATCTTGTTTCTATCTGTCAGTCATACACACTTTAAAAAAAGTGTTTTTTCCTTGTTTCTACTGTATGTTTTATTGCCTCGAGGTAATTTGTTACTAATGCAGATTAATCCTGCAATTAATTATTGTCAAATTAGTTACCTGGCTTCTAAACCTCTCCTCTGCCCCCCTCCCAAAACTCGCGTAACAGTTTCACGGTTACAGTTTTCTTATGTTTTCTTATATTTTTCTTATGGTATGGCTATATTTAATCTGGGAAAAGGGCAGAGTGAGGCTGTGAGGCAGTCTGACACCGGTTTTGGTAATGAAAGGATCCATTTTTGCACATATGTGCTTCCCGAGAGCAGTGAAGCTACTTGTGTGATAAGGCACAAAAACTACATAAGGGTTGCAGAATCTGTCCTGCCTTAACAGGTATTTAATTATAGCAACAAATATTAATTAGTAGGTACTTATTATAGTAGAAGAGATCCAAAGCCTGAGTCACAGACGGAAGCGAGTAACAGTTCTCCTTACCCTTGATGGACATTGTCCTCCTTTGTGCCTGGCCTGAATTATGTTCTTGGTGTCTTTGTGTTTGGTGATGCATAACCTTCATCATCCCTTAGTCAGAGGAATCAGCTGCCACTCATACCCCACAAAACACTGTGGCAAGAGCTGTGTGAAAGACCTGGTAATGAATCCATATTAGGCAAGCTTCTTCAGCTGGGGTGTTTATTTTTTTGTTACAAATGTGAAATTCCTGTCAAATTTACTGAAAGCACTAATCTGTTTCAAAGGAACCATATCTGATTGATGTTTTCATGTGTGAGTTAGGCAAATAATTGATGATGATTGCTGAGTTTTGCTTTGAGATTTGGGTTCATTTAAATGTGACACTTGCAAAATTCATCACTGAATAGAGCCAGGGGAACCAAAGCGGGAGAGAAAAAAGCACACTCAGATGCCTTGAGAACATGGGGTTTGTGCGTGTTTCTCCTGCAAAGTATAGCAGTTGCGTCTCTAAGTGGTGCAAGCAGACAATCGAAAAGGTGGTTTGGCTCAAGCTAAAAAGATTGGGAGTGGCATGCTGAACCCATTTTCCTTGCACCACAGTCCGTGCCAGACACCTAAGAACAGCCACACCTATTCAGACTAAGGGTCCCTCCAGCCAAATATCTCATCTCCAGCATTGGCCATAAAACGGGTGCTGGAAGAAACAGTATATATGACACTTCTTCCCAAACACACCAAAACTTGACCCCAAATACCAGTGTAAACAGTTTGTAACAAGACTCTTGAACAAAACAGTCATGTCAGTCCTTCATGTTCTGCATAAACTGGACTTGCTGTGTCATCTTTTTGTGAAGTACAGCTTGTTGGACCATTTTTTTTCCCTCAAGTTTTCAGTTGTGTTGGAAATAGAGGGTGGGTATGGTGTCTATCAGCTCTGCAGACCATCTCAACGCTCATTTGATTTACCGTTTTGTTGTTACTCCACAGTTTGAGATGCTGACAGGATCGTTACCCTTCCAGGGAAAAGACAGAAAGGAGACGATGGCACTCATTCTCAAGTGAGTACTGAAACCGTTCCTCTAACTATGAGTTAACTGTACCCTCTGGCAGCCTATACATCCTAATTATATGAAGGGTAGAGAATAATAATGTCCATAATGCGTTTTTCAAAGCAACGTAAGACATGGATTTGGTAAGGCACGCACAGTGGATGCCTGCATGTGGCTGTAAAATTGCCTTCAGAATAAATAGCAGGAAGTGAATTACTGAAAGGGCCTTACAAAAGAAATGTATCTTACTTTCTGTAATATTGTTATCCACGCAAAAGTGGTAACAGTCAGATTTCTGCAGGACAGCTTATGTTTGTTGTTGACAAGTTTCAAATCTTTTCCTTTGCAGATTTCCCATTCTTTTGATATTAAGTGCAGACATAAGTATTTGAAGCTTATCTTTGCTCAATATTACATTTTTTTCTGTAGCAGTGAGTCGCCAAGGGAAAAGTTTTATTCCCTTTAATCAATATGTGGTTAAGTATAATTATTTTCATGAAGTTTTGTTTGTTTGTCTAAATTCCTCTTGATTCCCAAATTTATTCCAGCAAGCTCAAGAAGTGAAAAAATTTCTGCAGGAAAATTACCTTTGTAGGTTGCAAAAGGTGTCATGAGATTCCTTAGATCTGCTCTGCCTCTAGTGAAGCCAGTGGTAAAATCTTCTTTAACTTCAGCAAGATCAGGTCCTCACTCTGTATTGCATTATGCTTAGGTAGCCTTTGGTCACCAAATTCATGTGTCTGCCCTTCCTGACTACTGCAGTTCCACTTTTTAAACCACAGTGAGATGGAGAAAATGTTTGAAAAATCTATTTTCTTTTCAAGTGTTGTGTTTTTTCAGAGCCAAGCTGGGAATGCCGCAGTTCTTGAGCATAGAAGCCCAGAGCCTGCTGCGAGCCCTCTTCAAAAGGAACCCCTCCAACAGATTAGGTATGCATGCGCATTTGATCGGGGCATTTGTTATGTGCGCTCTGCCTTGTCAGGTGGTGATTGTTTCTCTCGGTGCATCTTCCCTGATAGTTATCCTCTTCGTTATGCGGCATTTTGTGTTCCTTCCCAGAGCGCAGTGAACCTTGAGCGTTACTAGAGAAATTTGCAAAGAGCACAGGCAAACCATTGGAATCTGCAACATGATATTAGCTCGTATTGTATTTTTTTGGTGAAGAGGGAGGGTGAAGCACCAGCATTTATGAAGGGTTTAAGAGAACTGCTGCATATGATAATATAGGCAACTGAAAAACAGGTCTCTCTTAAATCTGTATAATTTAGCTGCAAATCTGAGGTGCGGAGCAAAAGGGAGTAGAATTTGTCTCTCCCATTCTCAAATAAGTTTTAATGCTGTCTCATTCTGTTTGCTGGGAACATTTTCACAGTAGGTTTTCTTCTTTGTTACCCTAAATGTGTTATCTCCTTTCTTACTAATGTGTTTTTACCCTTTGTTAATAATCCTATTTAAATTGTGATAAACTAGAAGTATGTATTGGATCATGCATCTTATGCCATTTATACCTTTGTTTGGGAGTTTTATTATGAAATTGATTGCATTTGGCGAGGTCATGGACAATGCCTGGTGCGTGATTTTAATTGCAAATTTGGTCTTCGGTTTTTACGTGGAAGAATAAGAACAGTCATATCAAGTGAATGATATGAACTTAATGGCACTGTATTGTTTTTCATTTAAAAATCCTATCTAGATCTGTGAAAAATTCTGGAGCTTTCTTTTTTCCCCACAGGTCTCATATTCTGCATTTTGGGTGAACAAGGGAAGAATTTGCTTCTAAAGGAAGGGGACAAACCTTTCCTTTGTACCTCTGTTGGGGTTTTTGTGCCCTTAGGAGCAGGAATTGACCTTAGGTGCAGGGATTTAATCCTTCGGTTTTGTAAACTGCATCACAAGAAGACTGCAGATGGGTCATATTTAAATACGTGGTTGACTCATTGCCATCCATGGGAGTTTTGGCAGCTATGAAATTACTTGTCTTTTAGAGAATGGCGTAGACTGGTTAAATATTGAGACGTGTGAAAAGCAATTTGCTCTTCTCTCTTGCAACCGTTTACACTTGTAAGATTGTTTCAGACTGGAGACGTAAAGTTAGAAGCAAAAAGCTAAGTTAGGAAATGGCTTGTTCCGAGACGTGAAAAGAGCGAGAGGTGCAAGAGAGGTTTCCCCCTTTCCATCCTGCAGTGCCCACGCTCCCTTCTCCGGTGCTGGAGGCGGTGCTGCCGAAGCTCTGCTGCCCAGTGCCTTTGGTCCCCCGCGCAGCAGTCCCAGCGTTAGCGGCAGAGCGTGAAAGGCTTGACAGCCCACTTCCATCACCGCCTGCCTGAGAGAGGGGTCCGGCCGTTTTTAATAGGCACGGGCGGGTGGGCTCGCGCACGTGTGGAAGATGGACGCTCTGCTCTGCGCCCTTGAGCTTCTGCTTGACCTTTTCATGCTCTGGTAGCTCTGTCCCTTGCTTCAGGTGGGGCGGCGTGGGAGCTACTCCAGCCCTCTGCTTTACACCGAGCACCGTCAGACTGTCACGTTTTAGGTGAATGGGTGTTTTCCGCCTGGCTGCAGCGTCGCAGCCGGAGCCCCCACCTCACGTAGAGGTCAGACACGGTGGCTCAGCTGTTTCCCAAGGGAGCCTGGCTCCTGCGGAGAAGGCCAGTACGGAGCAGGCTGCCTCTCCCTGTGACTGCCGGGGAGAGAAGGAGCCGAGCGCCCTTGCTCCACACAGGGACCAGGGGACAACCCCACCTCTGGCAGAGGTGGGGAGCCAGTCCCTCAGCACCCCGCTGCGGCCCCTCTCCTCCCAGGCAGACGCCCACACGGCCCGCAGAGGGAATGCCCTCCCATAGGTTTCACCTCTTGACCTAAATGGTAGCTCTTGTAGTCCGATACGCTGTAGAGATGATAGTCGAAAAACACATTTTCTCAGCAGGTTTCAACTGTTCTCAAGCAATTTGCTTGACATTAGAGAAAATTAGAGTCTTGGGATTTCTAGGTTTAATCTATGTTCAGAAAGATAATATGCTGCAGCAAATATAAACTTTTTTCCCGCTTCCTCCCTCTGTTCCTTTCTGCTGTTTCCTCCCTGTCTCTGTCTCTTGGTTTTGTTCTGCTCTGCTCGTTTTGTGGCTTCCCACAAGCTGCTATCCATCCAAAATGGGGCTCCAGTGAACTCAGTGGGAGTTTCTGGATACTGGTCCTTAAATAAAAAGCTACTCGCTAAAATAAGCAAAGTTGCTTAGTTTTAGCCCCCTGTTGTGATTTAACCCCAGCCAGCAGCTCAGCAGCACGCAGCCACTTGCTCAGTTCCCCAGCACCCAGTGGGATGGGGGAGAGAATCAGGGGAAAAAAAAGTAACACTCCTGGGTTGAGATAGGAACAGTTTAATAGAACAGAAAAGAAGAAACTAATAACGATAATAATAACAACAATAATAAAATGACAATAATAATAATAATAAAGGGATCGGAATATACAAAACAAGTGATGCACAGTGCAGTTGCTCACCACCTGCTGACCGATGCCCAGTTAGTTCCTGAGCAATGATCCCCCCAGGCCAAGTCCCCCCAGTGTATATACTGGGCATGACATCACATGGTATGGAATACCCCATTGGCCAGTTTGGGTCAGCTGCCCTGGCTGTGTCCCCTCCCAGCTTCTTGTGCCCCTCCAGCCTTCTTGCTGGCTGGGCATGAGAAGCTGAAAAGTCCTTGACTATAGTCTAAACACTAATGAGCAACAACTGAAAACATCAGTGTGTTATCAACATTCTTCTCACACTGAACCCAAGACATAACACTATACCAGCTACTAGAAGGAAAATTAACTCTATCCCAGCCAAAAACAGGACACCCCCATATCATCTCCCTTTTAATACTGGGGAATCGCTAAGTGTCAAGGTTTTAAACCTGAGATTTATTGAAATACTGGGAAGGCTGCGAGAAAGGAAGACGTTATTTATAACACAAACATTCAAGGAAATAAAATCTAAAAGAGTAACAGAAAAATAGATCTTAGCATTCCAGCGACAGCGGTGGAAAGCTTCTGAAGGCTCTCTGTTCTAACTGATTGAGAATCAGTATGAAGGATTATGGAAACAGACTTGTTGGTAGTAAAAGAAGGAATACTTAATGTTTGGCCTAAATTCTGAACAGAAGTCAGTAGAAAAAAGGACTGCTTCAACTTTGTGGCTTTTAGCTTTTTCTGGGAAAAGTTTTCTGGAAGTTAAAAGAAAAGTAGGCTTAGACATCCTGTTTTGAAAAATCTTTGGAAAATTAATGAAGCATGCTAAAATAAATGAACCATATTATGGCTCAAACACTTGTTTTCAGCCATTGTTTCAGAAGTTTACAAATCTGGAAAGTGTATTTAGTTCCAAAGTATTTTTAATATTGGCAAGATGAAAGATGCTGAGCTTTGAAAATCATTTTATTCTGATTACCGTCTTGCTTTTTGCCATTTGATTTAGATATCTTAACAAATAGAAGTAAAGATTGATGAAGTATTCTAAACTTTTGCTTTGAAATTTGTTTTGAAGCTTTGGATTATTAATGGAAAAAAATATTAGAGTTGAAGGGAGATACTCAGATAAGGCAGAGAAGGAATTTAGTAATCCAGTTTACCTGATTCTATTTTTAAGTCTGGTGCTCGTATTAATGCTTTAGAACAAATTTTTAAGGAATCAAAAGTCTTCCTTCCTTTGGCATCCCTTGTTACGGATGCTGTCTGTTCTTTTCTGAGCCTATACACTCTACTGTACAAATAGTCTGCATTGCACTGCTTTGGTAGTATTGCTCTGATTAAGTACAATAAATTTTAGTTTATAGACAAGCATAATTTTAAATTATTAAAATAAACTAACTGGTATATCCAGGCAAACAAGGAGGAAGCAACTCAGAAAAGAAATTGTATGATGAAGGTGTTAGTTCATTACATTGCCAGGAACTTAGGCAAGGGACTAATTCTTACTTGCCCTAAGGCCTGGATCTAATCAGGTAGGTAAATGAATGTAAAGAGCATTTCAGGAACTCCCTACGCTGCTGAGCAGTATAAAGGTTCCAGAGTCCTTATAACTGAGCAGCTTGGCCAAGAAAGTATAGAGTAAAAGCATGTGCTAGTAGATTCAGAATAAAAGCCAAATAAAGAGTTATTATTTCCTTAATCCTATTTTCTCAGTGAAGACATATTCTGCTTTGGCACATAGAAAACTTTGTTTTTCCACTTTATAAGATGGTGGGTTTTAAAAAAGAAGTTTCACCTTTGTCAGAGTGACTGTACATCTTTCTTGTAAACCTTAGGAATGCATTTCAAAAAATCTAGCCCACTAAAAAGATTCTGAAGCTGTGGAGACACTAAAATTTTATTATCTGAAACTAAAAATCTGGAAACACTTTCTGCTCATTTTGAATATCCAAATAATCAACTTTCAAATTTCATAGGTCTCCCTTTTTCCCCTTAATATATTACAAAGCTCACATTATCCATAATGATTCAGCAATCAAAACATTCTACTGTTACTGCTCGCAGACACTTTTATTACAGGCATAAAACAATCTTAGATAATCAAGTTCTCGCTTATTAGCATGAGGCTGCTTTTATATAAATCCTTGCACTCTAGAATGTGTTTAAACTGGCAGTTTGATCTGAAAGCGTTATTTATCTTCACAGACCCTCATGGGACTGTATGGCACATAGAAATGTTTGCAGGCAGTAGGTTTGATTGTGCTGATTATTCTTTACAGATAGGTTTGATTACTACATTGAAGTTAAAGTGAAGTTAAAAAAAACGACTAGAAACCTAGAGGAAGGTGAGAGGTTTGTGGTCCTGTGGTGTGCCATCCTGTGCTGCACTTCAGCAGTTTGCTAAATACCCATCTCTATACCAAAAAATGTCCATCCCCACGAAGCAGGACTTTCCAGTTACGACCTCTCTGGTGCTTCTCTTTTCTCCATGAAAGCACATCTCTTTCCAGTACCACTTTAGATTTGCAGATGGTAAATGAATGGCTGAAACATGCTGAGCAAATCCAGAGAGACTCCACCATAGGCACTGGTGCCTAACCTCTCCCATGGACTTCTGGAGTGGGGTCAGGGTTGCCCCTCCTGGCTCCCAGAGCTGTCCCTGGGCGAGCCCTTGGGCCACCTCCTTCCTCCAGCTGAGGAGAGGACCAGGCGACACACTGCTGCCTGCAGCCACAGCACACAGCCAAGAGGGAGCGGTGGGCTATGCCAGCAGGTCTCATGGCGGGGAAGGTCAGGGAGTAAAAACTGCAGGAAGCGCTGAACCTTCTCCATGGTGTAAAATTGGTTGCTGCGAATTGGAAGTCCTTCACTCTTTGCAAAATTAGGCTATTACCTTCCTAAAGCTCTTCAATACATTAAGCTAACCAGAGATGGAGTCAAGCCCTGGCACTCCTAACAACATATTCCTTCTCTGCTAGAGTTCTGAGGTGGCCTGTCGTGGTTTCAGCCCAGCCGGTAACAAAGGACCACGCGGCCGCTCGCTCACTCCTCCCGCCCCCCTCCGGTGGGATGGGGGGAAGACGGAGGAGAGGAAAAAAAAAAACCCAAACCTGGAACCTCGAGGGTTGAGATAAAGGCAGTTTACTGGAACAACACAAAGAAATTGCAACAACAACAACGGTACTAATGAAAAAGTATACAAAAAGAGTGATGCACAGTGCAACTGCTCACCACCCGGGACCCGACGCTCTGCCACTTCCCCCACCGAAAAGAAGAGCCCACCCCCCGGCCCGCTCCCCCTTTATATACTGAGCATGATGTCACATGGTATGGAATAGCTCCTTGGCCAGTTCAGGTCAGCTGCCCCAGCTATGCCCCCCCACCTCCCAGGTTCCTGTAAAAATTAACTCTATCCCAGCTGAACCCAGGACATGGCCCCAAGTGGGAAATGCCAATTTTTCAAATGAATGCCTGTGTCGACTGCATGCTGCGTTCCTTACTGCACACTGCAGTCCCCCACTAAGAAAAGTAGCTATGGGTGGGCTTCTTCCTTGGTCCTGATTTCTGGGTTTTTGTGGAAGAAAGAACAACAGTAGCAAAAAGTGTGGCTTTCAAATAGATAGTCTGAAAAAGGCAGGTCATTCCCATCACACAGTGAAGTATCCATAAGCCTACAAAAGAGGGAAAAGGGAAACAATGGGGAAGGGACAGAGCAGAGAAGATTGAATACATCAGCAGTTATCCTCAGTCCAGGGAACGCTACCAGTAGCTTACAGTGTCTGTAGCATTTATCCCAGTCCTTTGAATTCAGTTTGGCACTTGGATTTCATCCTTATATAGCAAAGAACATCTACTGCACATTACAAAGTTTCCAGTCACCACCACTGAACACAAAACATTTTTCACAGATATTTCTTCTCTGAAGTGTTGCTTAATGTAATTCTCTTCAGAGTAACTGTGTTGGTTTCATGTTCCTGTTGGCATTGCTAAAATCAGAATAAATCTTCCAAGGGAATCTAGTGCAGACTTTAGACTGTGCATTGAAAAAACATGCTAGGGAAGACGTAGAACAAGTCTTATTACTATCTAAGTCTCACTATTTTCTTGTTCAGTACCCGTGGGCCATAAACAACTGCCTAGGGAAGAGTAAGAATAGGGTAAGCATATGTAATACTTCACCTAAATTCTCTCCCAGTCTACACCTGCTTTAAGGTCAAGCAAGGGGTTTCCTGAACCTCCTGTGGTTTGTCGATGAAGTAATCTGCAACAGATTTCTTTTCAACATACTTTTCTGGCCTCCCCCTGAACCCATGTAAATATTTTGCATCCACATCATCTTTTCCAAGGAATTCCACATCACGCAACTATCTGTTGCCTGAGGAAACATCTCCAGGTTGTTCTGAACCTGATTCCTGCTAACATCATTTAATGACCTATCATAAACCTACTCAGTCATCTCTTTCCAGGTTGAAAAGTCCTGGCCTACTCAGTCATTCCATACTATTCCTTGTTGCCCTTCTTTGATTTTTCCTACCTTCAGCAAGTATACCCTTTTATAGGTGGGGGCATCAACTACATTCTGTACTCAAGTTGTAGGTGTACAACAGACTTATACAGTGACAATGTTCTTCCTTTTGTCCTCTTTTCTCTTTCTAAGATTTGTTTTCATGCTGTGTTTGCCTAGAGCCATCTGTCTGTCATAACCCAAAGACCTCGCTCCTCAGTGGGGTTGATTGCCTCCGAACACATAATTTGGCGTGGCAGGCTAGGATTGTTTATCCTTATGTGCGTCAGATACATTTGTCTATACTGTAAGATTACCAGGATGGGGAAGTAATCAGAAGAGCATTCCTCTTGTGTTATTATTTAGCAGGCCTGACAGACAATCCTGCATGTTATGTTCACAAAGTGTTTGCTTTTTGTATCCATTCATCAGTGAATGTTAATCAGGCTGTAGGAAGCTGTTCCTGGTCAATGCATTTTGGCAAACATCGGTAATGTTTTGTACACAAAGAGAGCAGATGTCACATTTTACAAAAGCATGAGTTGACAAGACCTTTCTAAAGCTGCTTGTAATGCTGATCTTCAGAAAGTACAAATACTACATAAAAAAAGCTGAGTCCTCTGAGGTGCTGAGTGCCTTTTGCAAGGCGCTTATGAATCCCAAGTCCTTTTGGGAATCAAGGATGCTCAGCATCCTTGTAAAGAAGTGCTGGGTACCTTTCAGGAACTGATTCCAAAATTGCATTGCAAAGCCTTTGCTTCCAAATGTTATTTTTCCTACTGGAAAATGAAAGGTGCTATTAACAAAGTCAAATCAACCCCCAAAATGCCATGCTAAATCATCTCTGACAGTTATTTAATTATTACTGAGCACCTGTTGGTTTTTGCAATGGCAGTGAAGCAAATAAATTGAGCTAAAGGAATAAAAAGGCAATCTTCAGTGAAGACATAAGGCAAAAGTAATTAGATTCATTACCAGACCTCAGAAGAGTTTCTCTAATTTTCCTTTAGTAATGTAACAGAAATTTAACAGTGAAGGAAACATACCACTGAGAGTCATGATTTTGGTACTCGGGCAAATTTGAAGACAGTATTTGAAAAGGGGGAACCTAAAATCCTGGCTCACATTATTTGGAGCCTTTAGGTATTTTGAGTCTGAACTTACCTGAAATGCAGCTTTCTCTGCCCATGGAAAATGGATAATTAGACAAGATTTGAAAGTCGGTGCGGATAGAAGAGCTACCACGGGTGGCGGGGAGCAGCAGTAGCCTTGCCATAGTATCGGGACATCTTGGGGCTTCTCCTGGCCTCGCTGGTGCGTGCACTCTGCTGCAGCTGAAATCCTGTGTCTCATCTGAAGCCTGAAGTGAGCATCTATTCAGCCTCAGCACCAGCCTCAATTAGAGAAAAGTAAAAAACCCGCCACCATCCGATTTTAATTAATGAAGTGCCCTTGTCTGTATTTACGGTAGTTTGTGCTGTTATGGCAGTTGCACTGTTCAGGGATTCTTGACTAGAAGCAATGTTTAGATGGTGACTCAGACTTTGTCAGACGAAAAGAGGGGACAGGGAGGAATGCTGGAGAAGAGATGTCATGCAGCACTGTTCTAAGCATGACTTAATTTTGATTCTTTCATTCTCTTGTCAGGTGCTGGATTCGATGGAGTGGAAGAAATTAAACGTCACCCTTTCTTTGTTACTATAGACTGGAACGTAAGTGGAGCAGCATTTTATTTGTTCTTTTTTAATTATTTTTCTTAGCTAAATTTTTGAAGGCAAACTGCCATGCTTAGAAAGAAGATGAAGGGAACTCTAACATAGGGAACCCAGGAGCTAGAGCCTTTTAAGTGGGTGCCTATGTCTCTTGCATCCATATTTGGCAGTGTTAGGTTTACAGTTGGACTCGATGACCTTAAAGATCTTTTCCAACCTAAATGATTCTATTATTATATATATACATTTGTTCACATACCCAAAATGAAAGAAATAGAAAGCTGCTTTCAGCATTGCCAGTTTTTTCTAACTGCTTGTCTCTGTTTTGTCTGATGGTCTGGCTTATCACGGTACTACCTGAGGCTATTTGCAGTGTTCTGCAGAATAATTTCCACATTCAGCTCTAATAAACATGATGCATTGATTGTGGGAGCTGGGCTGGAGTGAAAATGAGCAGCTTTAAATGACAGAATTCCCATAATATTTCAACTGCAAAAGAAAACAGAGCCAAAGGACTTGGGCTTGAAAGGGATACTCCAGAGGGAAGCGGTGTGATGCTCTAGGTCCCTCCATCTTGCTGCTTTTATGTTCCATATTGAAATACGCGTCCCTTCTGACTGGGTTGGGCAAGCTGGACTAAATGCTAGTTTTATTCTTTCTGATGTCAGGGACCTCCAGGAATCCTATTCTCTCTTGGAATTATTCAGAGCAGCCCCAGGGCTGCTCTTGCACGTCTGCCGACAGTAGCTCCAAAGAGCTCCCAGCCCTGCAGGCGCACCCTTTTCCCAAACACAGCCTGGTGCTGCTGGGACTGTCTGGGTATCCGCAGAGGTGGCACAGCAAGGTGTACAGCAGGTTGTGCTACTTTATGCTGGGGGAATCATAAATCTTCCAGCACGATAGCTCTGTTAACCCCTTCTTGTCACTTTTGGCCTGAGTGACCATAGGATGGGATCTGGCCCTTCCACTGTATTGTGATGGGGGCTACAGAAAAGCCCGACATAGATGGATTTTCAGAAGAGTGATTTTACATCACTGAGTCAACCAGCCAGAACAGGAAACAGCAGCTCCTCTTACAAGTGGTTGATGTTTTATTGAGGTGAGTCATTAATTTAACATCAGCACTCAAAATTGGAACAGCAAACATTTGATCAAATGTAATATGGTTCAAATAAGACATGTCAGACATGATTAACAGCATGGTAAACAAGGATTTATTTTATTGCTATCAGCTACAGCTCATAAAGCTGGAGGCAGAGATTAGCTAAGTATTTGATTTAGACTTGGAACAGGTGAAGCCTTCCCACATTTTCAGCGTCATATTTGTTCAAATCGACTTATTTTTAGACAAACCTGGAGGCAAACATTTTTCATTTTTGATCTGGACATCTGCCAGGGCATCAGAGCTCCGGTTTGCCACATCCTCTAGAATTTTCTAGTTTAATTTTATCTGACCTGTGTTATGGTATTATTATGTCTCTTTAGTATTTGATCTGAATTCACTCATGAATGCTAGTGTTACAGGTCACATTGATGCAGTTCTCACTATAAATTCTGGTAAACCAGCATGAATGTATGTGACAGAGCCATTCTCAAACTGCTGCCCAGGGCTTTACAGTAAAGCTAATTCCTCTATGAAAGGACATTTTGTGGTGCCCAGGTGGTCTTTGAAAGGCCTACAAAACCATTTATTTTAGAAAAACTCCTGAATCTGATTTGAACTGCATGTTGAAGAGTTGGCACTATTCAAAAGCATGTTAAGAGATGATCAATGAAAGTGGAGTTTGAGATTTTCCTTTCTGGTCCACCTGACTTTTAGTCCCATTACATCTGTTGTAGAGTCTAGATTCTCTTTCCTCTTCTGCTTCTGACTAATCATGGGATTCTGTATGAAGACTTTACATTAAGTGAAAATTAAAAATAGAGAATCCTGAAGAGTTTGGGTTTTTTATTATTATTATTATTTTCTGTATTCCTCTGGTATCTCCACAGTCCTCAGCTTTGCAATCAAAATACAGGTCAGGTGCATACGTCTTAATGTAATAAGGAGCACTGGAGCAGTGAGAGGGTTTCTCCCTCTGTGTTCGCTAGTGGAGCAGCTCAGTAACTCATCACAGAGAAATGAGGCTCTGCATCTTGGAAAGGTTTTCAGCAAAGTCAGTTCTGGTCTGCAAGAGTCCTCAAGACCACCTTCTCTCATGATGATTGGTGATTGTTTCAAGCTCAGTTCTTTAAGGAACAATTTCATGCCTGTCCTGAGGAAATTGTACAGTCCTCCATCATTTGAAAAAGTTCTTATGGACGGGTTAGGGAAATATCTACCGTGAAGAGGCTAGGTGTGCTTGACCATGACTTGGAGCTAGAGAGGAAGGCGGATTTAATTGCCCTTTGATGTCTTATCTAGCCCTCTAACTTTGCTGTAAAACGTAGCCGTAAATATCCATTTTAATCCAAGATAATTAGTGCTTATTGCACTCTCTTGGAGACAGACGGTCATTATTACATAGATCAGCTATCATCTTTGTAATAGATTTGCTCATTTAATCCTAATTTTGCTATCACTCATGGAGATCTTGGGAGGCTTATCTAGTTGCAGCAGCAGTATTGTATGCATTTCAGAGGGGTGTGAGCCAGCTGGGCCCTGAGCTGAAGCCAGGACTTTGCCTCACAATGATCATCCAACTAACTGTTAACGTGTTCTCCACGGACAGAAACAGCAGGGTCAGAGAACAGAAACAGATCAAGCACACGGATATTTAGTGCTGATCTCTGTACAGTTGCAGGAAAAGAGTCCCCGATGCCGTTATTTTGTTCTCCCATCACGTATACAGAATCCCTCACATCAATTTGTAGGCAGTCAGCAAACAACATTTTTGAGGCAGGACATGAATGTTGATTTATTTTATACCTTGGTAATATAATATAAAGACCTCAGAGAGCAAGAGGCAAGTTCTTTTGGAGAGCTTCTGTACTACCTTGGCAGCTATGATAGACAGGACTGCTGCGACTGACAGCATAGAAACTTTCAGTGACTCTAGTAAAATGATCCTTCATCAAGAGCCCCTGATCATGATGGCTTAGAATGGGCTACTGTCTTCTAGAAACCCAGTGTGAAACAGGTCTTTTTTCAAGCAATACTTTTCCTACAAGGGTGACGTGATAACCATGAACAAACCACCAAGTTGCTTCATCTAATTTTAAAAAGAGATTCAAAACCGCAGTGAGCTAGCTGCTTCCCTCCAAGTTGTGTGTGAAGTCTGGATATCACAGTGATGAAGTCATTAGAATCTGCCCTGATTTCAGCTGGGATAGAGTTAATTTTCTTCCTAGTAGCTGGTACGGTGTGTTTTGGATTTAGTATGAGAATAATGTTGATAACACACTGATGTTTTAGTTGTTGCTAAGTAGCGCTTATCCTAAGTCAAAAATTTTTCAGTTTCCCATGCTCTGCCAGCAAACAGGTATGCAAGAACCTGGGAGGGAGCATGGCCAGGACAGCTGACCTGAACTAGCTAAAGGGATTATTCCATACCATAGGACATCATGCTTACTATATAAACTTGGGGGAGTTGGCTGGGAGGCACAGATCGCTGCTTGGGCATCGGTCAGTGGGTGGCGAGCAATTGCATTGTGCATCACTTGTCTTTCTTGGGTTTTATTTCTCTCTCTTTTTGTTATCTCCCTTTTCATTATTATTATTACTATTATTGTTGTTGTTATATTTTCTTTTCTTTTCTTTCAATTATTTAACTGTTCTTATCTCAACCCATGAGTTTTACTTTTTTTTCTGATTCTCCTCCCCATCCCACGGGGGGGGGGGGGGGCAGGAGGGGGAAGTGAGCGAGTGGCTGTGTGGTGCTCAGTTGCTGGCTGAGGTTAAACCACGACAGAATCACAGGCAGAAATGTATAAATCGGACCTTCATTTCAGAGTACTGTCAGAGCTGTTCCCTCAGGTTTTGGATTGGAGCTTGGTTATTGTCTCTGTCACCGAGGTGTTTATCTGTTGGAGCAGTCATTTCCTACTTGTTTCCCATCCTTCACTGTCTTCAAACCGATGCAACCAGACATAGTGTCTGGTTCGGATGAAGGCAGCAAGCACAGTGGAAGCAGCACACACAGTGTAAGAAAGCCCCCTGTTACGATGCTGCAGATGCTGCTGCCAAGCCCAGCAGAGCTGATGGCGTATGACCGCTGCATGCAGAGGCAATAGGTGCAAGCCTGGAAAACAGGAGTGTGGCCAGAGAATGACCGTCCTCCTCCAGATGCCATTCCCGTGTTCCACGGTGCCATTCTTCAGCACAAATCTCCAGCCAGCCTAGGTTTAACTTCTGGTGTATAAGTGGCACTAAATGAACTGTGGACAATCTGACAGTTTTTATGCCCAAACTGAAATTGTGGCATGAGCTAATCTTTGTAAGAGTCTCATTTTTACAGCTATTGTCACCCAGTAGCAAAACGCTAAATTCCCACTTCCCAGTGTGAAAAATAGATGAAGGATTCTACAAACATCAGTCTTCCTGCTCTAAGGCATTTAGTAGGCACTGTGACACAAGTTTGATGGATCCTTTGTTGAATGAGTGGGCTGTCTTTCATGATCAAGGCTGGGATTCACAGGAAGGAGATTAGATGTCCAGCTCCTGAGTTTTACCTGCTTACTACCCTTGCACCCCCTTTTCTCCCTAAGACAAGCAGACCCAAAACGAGTTGACCTCAGATAATTTCAGCCATTGGCTCTGAGAAAGCACAGTCTGGTTCCTGACTTTTTTTATTACTGTTTCTTCTTTCCAGGTCATGCATAAAGAATTTCTGGCTTTTCATTGAAAATGAAAAATGAAATCCCCTTTTGCAGACTGCAGTCAGGGTGGTGTATAAACAGTAGTTTTTGTTTAGATGACAAGCTAAATTGGAACTAGAGCAAATGACATGCTAGAAAATGAACTGTCAAATACAGCTGAGGGAAGGAGTGAGAAGTAAGTGGACTCAAGTTCTGTTTCCTTCAATATTAATCAGAGATCAAACTAAACTGAAAATGTGAATTATTTAATTGCAGATTTTACCAACAGCGAAAATTGATCCCAAGGTCTGAATTCTGCTAGCTTTTCTATCATTTGTAGGCAATAACATTGAGTCATTAATCTAGGAAAGGACAAGCATTTTAAAGGGTAGTTCATCCTTTTGTCTGCTTATTGGATTTTCCATGACAGGTATATGTATCAAGGGAGTTTATTCTCATGCTACAAGTGCGTCACTGTGGAGGGTAAGATCTTTCTATTTCTAGAAGGTGTCTAAGGAAAATTCAGTTCTTCATCAAAGAAACTCAGTTGAGGAAATGACTAAATAGTTTTTAATTAAATTAAACCATTTTCTTTTCCTTGATATTTTTCAGGCACATGTACAGGGCATTTACATCTCTGGGATTTTTTAGGAGTGCATTTTTTTTAAAGATGATGAAAAATTAACTGCTTATAAATAACAAGAGACAGACACATGTTGCAGCATTTTGTTACTAGTCTCCCTGTTATATTACTCAAGTCCCAGCTGAGGAGGTGTTCAGATGAAGCTCATTTTAGGGGTCTGGCAACATATACTAAGAAAAGGTTATTGAGGCCTGGGGGAAAATTAGTTATTTCAAAAAAAAAAAAGGTTTTTGTCCCAAATCAGAAAGGAAGTTGATAGAAGCTCATAGTTTCTCAAACTGCTATAGAACTGTGTTCTAGTTAATTTGTAGGTACTTACTAATCTGAAGGTGCTGATTATCAAAGTCTCAGGAGGATGTGAGGGGTTGATAAGTAGACAGAAGCATGGATATGTATCCAGGTGTGGATATCTAAATCAGTACTTTCACACCTTGGAGTTCATCCCCCTCATTCTGTGGATTACGCACTCCCTCTGCCCAGCCACTGGATACGTCAGCCATGCGTGATGCAGTGTGATTCCTGATACATCTCAGTCACGTTTTTCTTTGATAAGTCAATGCTGTGGCCAGTTCAATAAAATGGGGGTGGGATGTAGGGAATAATTCTTTACTGGGAAAGAGACAGAAATTACACTCTCAATAAAACATTAAGGGCTAAGGAATGCATTCCTCCTTTATGGATGTGGAAGCAATGTGGAAGAAAAAAAATCTTCAGCTTCTTATACCTGTGCAAAATAACACACATATAATGATCTTAAGTACCCAACCTGATATTTAAATGCTCCAGTTAGCACTAACATATCCGAGGTCTCTTTTGAATGCCCAATAAAATGCCCCCAAATGGATATAAAAACTGGGATTTAAACTGGGACAGCTGGGACCCTGCTCCCATTAAAATAGAACTCCCAGTGACTTCTGCATACAGAGCCAGGATTACCATGATTTGGGATGATGTAGCTAACTGTTTAGACTTTACCAGGACTTATGTGACAGCCTGATAGAAATGGTCAAAGGCAAGATTTGAAGCTTAACTCGCTATGTCATTTGCTGCTCTGGTTGGTTTCTCTTGGAAGAGATCAAGGTGATCCATCAGCCCCAAATAATTTGGGACCGTGGTAAGAGATAATAAATTAATACATTTCACCTAAAATTAGAAATATTCTTGGAAAATCCAGAAGGCTCTCAAATCCTCCAAGAGATTTTTTCCCTGTGTGTGTAGAAAACAGCAGCTGTGGTTCTTACTGTTTTCTTAGATCAGCTTGGGTCACGTTGTGTTTTGCAGTCTACAGGATGCGGGTTTTTAAAGGACAAAGTGTCCTGCCTGTAGCAAGCATTCATGTTTAACTGTGTTGGGCTGCCCTGTGGTTTAGTGTGCTTCAGCAAATTGGCTTTAGTTGTAGTGGCTCACTCAGACAACTGGAGCCAGTGTGGGATGGAAAAGCCCATAGATGACACTGCTCTGCTTGTTCTTGTTCCTCAAAGATTTTATTTAGTTACCCAATTCAAGAGTTTGGGGGGAAAAAAAAAAGAATATTTTAGGCAGTTTACCTTTTGCTCTTCCTAGCTGTCTAGTCAGAAACACCAGAAATAATTTTTATCACAAGTGGAAAAGGAAATTGAAAAGGGAGTCATCGGGTTGCGCTCAGAGGAGGTGCTTTTCACTTGCAAAAGCAACTTCTTTGTTTCCATCCCCTCCCAGCAAGCGAATTTGTGATTACACATCTTTAGGTGGCGTGTGACTCATGATGAATCTTCAATCCCTCCCTAGTAGTGGAAGATGTGGGTTAGGGATTCAAAATACAAATGTAGCTCCAACAGCACTTAAGAAACAACAGGCGGGGGGGAAGGAATTAAGAGGCCAGAAAGAATATGGTTACGATAATCAAAAGAGAGTGCACTTCCCGAATGATGTATGACTCTCAAATATTTTCCAGTTTTTAGACCTCACAGGATGAGGGTGCACTTAATTCAAGGAGAAAGCATGTGCGTGTGACCGTATTGCTTTCTGCGGTAGAATGACTGCAGTTGTGAATTAAGACAAATAAAGGGAAGCTGGAATCAAATAGCTTTCTCAAGATGAAATCCTAGTAACAGAAAAACCTTCAGTAGGTGCTGAGTTCCCTTTTAAAGTTCTGTGCAGACAGAAAAAGATATATGTTAATTACTATGTTGATACTTTTCAGCTGATGAATGACACTTCCTGCTTAAGATTACAATTGGCTTTTAATTATTTGGAAGACTGGCTTTCCATTGTGGGACACAACAATTATTCATCTCTTTTTCTCTCAGAAGATACGGAGCAGTTTTACGCAAGCAGGAACTTTTTATGGTGAAATGGCCATTAATTATTGCAGAGTCATTTCCAGCCTCGCTGTTCCACTTTTCCAAGGAATCATAATTCAACCACAAGCATATGCTTTATGCTAATGCTAATACTATGCAGCAGAATGTCAAGAACCTTTATTTATCTATGCAAAATCAAGTTTAAATTATGTTGATGTGCATACATCTTAGGTTTGACCACATGCTTTATATTGCAGAAGCTAATTCACCACAAAACCCACAGTTAAAAAGAATCTTCCTGCATGCAAAGAGCTGGACAAGCATGTATTAATCTCCATTAAATATTTTGAAAAATCAGCTCATTATGAAGCTGTTTTAAGAGCTAACCTGAACGTACATATTACAAAGAGTCAAAAAATTGAACTCTCCAGCTCTTATCATGACTTGAAAGTTTGGATGAAACTTTATGCTCAGACACGTTAATTATTGGGCGCTGTCTGTGGCAACTAATTCAGCCCTTTGAAACCTGAGAACAAAAGCATTGCTAGAAAGGGAATGCAGTCTAGGGACTGAAATGCGGGCCCAGGAGTCAAACTGGAGCTCTGTTCCCCATGCAGCCATCAGCATGATGTTTGGTTTTGGCCATTTCAAGCAGAGATGATGCAAAGATCGCTGAAATCAATAGGACTTTTTCCATTAACCTCTGTAGGCTTTGGATCGGATCCAGACATGCGGCACCTCAGTTTGTTCATCTCCCAGGGGGTGTGTGTGTCTGTGTGTGTGTGAATGCTTGCAAAGGAGCACGGTGAACCAATTTCTTAAAGGTCACAAAGCATGAGTAAAGAGGCCACGAAGTCCCTGGTAATAAAGGCAGTGTATTAGCATGCATTTATGGGGACTGTTACTTCTGTGATCCCTTACATGCCCCCTCACTCGCCAGCACAAACTCACACACCTAGCAGTGTTTGCCTGTTACCTACCTTCCTCTCTTCCTTATATTTTTCCTTGGTTTTGCTCCTCTGCTCAAGCCACGCTTAGCCCTTCAACATGATTCCCCACCCATCCACGGTGCTTCCTTCCTAACATCTTTTGCTGGGAATTTTATCTAATCCCCAGCTGTGAGCCCCTTCCCTTCTACCAGATATGCCAAAAGAACAAGTCTCTTGTGTAGGTTGTGAGGACCAGGCGGCCAGGCCTGTTGCTCTGCTCAGTCTGGCAAAGTATCAAACATATTGCTAGTTCTTGACAAATAAAAGCTAAACCAGGCGCCGCTTCCCAGCAGTTCTTTGTGCTCATTGCCATCGCTGCGCTGCTGAACTCACTCGTGCACAGTTTCCTGGTGTTCCATTGCACGGTCCGGTCCTGCCCTTAAGATCAGTGAATTTCCAGATGCCTCCGCTGGAATATTGTGCCAGTCTAACGGGGTAGATTTTTACCAGAAAGATCTGCATTTATGTGCTGGATTCCAGTAACTAAAAAGTGCGGGGACCATGCAGGACACAGGTTTTAAGCCGACCAGTCAAGCAGGAGCCAGAACTTCGAATACATCGTCCTTTTTTTCAGTCCCGCAAGGATGGGACAGAGCTGAGAGAGGACACCCTAAACAAAGCGGGGGAGCCTGTCTGCAGGTGCTGAAGGTGTACAGATTATTGTTGATTGTGATCTGTTCTTCTCCTTGTAGAAACTATACAGGAAAGAAATCAAGCCGCCTTTCAAGCCCGCAGTGGGACGGCCAGAAGACACCTTTCATTTTGATCCAGAGTTCACATCTCGGACGCCCACGGGTCAGTAAGGTGGCACATGGGTAATGCATCTTTTCAGTGAGTAAATTCATTCTTCCTTCCCCTCCCCATTCCAACAGGGGTCTAAAAGTCTGATCACCTGTGGGATTACTGGGTTTTGCAATATCCAGCAGGAAGTAAAGGCTGGTTTGGATTTCCAAGGAAAGCAGCTCATAAGCATTTCACTGACTTCACATTAATTTGTCCTCAGGAAGGACAGATTTCACATTTTTAATAGGAAAATCAACTATTAATTTGCTATTTTATTATTCTTATCATTGCTTACATTAGCTGAATTTAACTATTTTAAATTACCTCGGCTTCAAAGAACTTTGCATCTCTGCAAGTTAGTATACAATTATATATTCCATAGATGTTTTCTTTAATGATGAAATCCCATAGACTATGGACTGCTGGAAGTTAACACATGGTTAAGAGTAATGAAGAATCATGAAGTTCTCAGACCAGTGGAGTTATGCCAACAGGAATTTGGCCCACAATATTTGGAAAATCCTTGCAGTGAGAATGTTGTTCCTATAATTTCTATTTCCTAACAGGAATATCACCTTTCGTGCACTATATATATGAAGATGATTGTTGCACAAAACACCATCTTTCCACTCTTCTAGTTGAAAGCAAAAATATCGGTAACCTCAGAGTGGTAATCCCAGTTATAATGTTACCTCTTGCTAGACAGGGATAAGCTACATTACACTCCTGCCTGTGGTATTCCTGTGTAAAAGTACCTATTTATATGTTCTAAAATGTAAAAATTTAATTAGCTGTCACTTGTAAAAGACTTTGAAGATGGTAAGTGCTGTAAATACCACATAATATTGCTGTAATAACCAAGTATAAGGTCTCAAGCGTCAACCCTCAAATTGCCCCCAGAACTGTTGCAGTGAGACTCAAAGATCTGAGCTTTCGTTATGAAAACCCTGCATAATAGCACATGAATCAGAGCTGAGATTTCCTGTAGTTTTCATTCAGGCTTATCATGACCATCAGCCTTTTTCTTAAAACTAGCCCAAAGCTCTATTCAAAGCCTGGCTCAAACCTCCTTTCATGGGGTATGAAATAGTGGTATCTAGTCAAAATCTTTTATCAGTCTTGGTTCCTAGTTTTTTTGGCAAGCATGTGTCTACTTTCACAAGCTATAAAAATATTACACTCTGGTTATTCAGCTCTAACTGGAACATCCCCCTGCCTCCAGTATATGTTAGTCCTGTTCTGATACTCCTATCCCGCTGCATGGAAACAAATGATCTTTGGATACCAGACATTTCACACCTTTGATGTTAGCTTTAATTCAGATTTCAGAGGAACTAATTTCTTTGAAATATTGGAGACTGCGAGTTAGTCTGATCTTGAGAGCAATGCAGGCTGGTGCTGCCCTGGAAAGTCTCAGAGAAGGACTGAGCGTTTGGGTTTCTTTGGAAGTTCACGCTTCACTGGTTGTACTGGCATGAAAACCCTTATAATTCATGCATGTGCTGATGCCCAGGGTAAAATTTTACATTCTACGTGCTACTACTGTTGCCTAATTCAGTTTGATATCTCATGCCAGACACTGACTTGGAAGGTTTGTCTTGGGGTGGTGGCTGGGGTGGGGAGATGGCCTGCCTCAATTCTGCTTCATGCTACTATGGAAAGTGGCCTGAGAAGCAAATCCTGTAATTTCAAAATGGGTGTGATTGGAAGTGTGAATCCCTTTATGCTTCCAGAGTGATAGAAAAGCTCTGGTAGACTGGCAGCATATTTTGCAGCCCCTGACTGTTGACTGGTTGGGTCAGCCAGAAGGGAAGAGCATCGCAAGAGTGTTTAATACTGGCTCATATGGCCAGTGGAATGAAACAAGAACCCTTTTTATTTTGGGGTTTTTTCCATCATGACATAGGTGCCATACAAACTTACCCTGTTAGTGAGAACGTACCTAGACAGAAAGCACTGTAGTAATTCCTGTTTCATGGTGATAATGCAGTCATTGTGTTTAAATGAAGCTGTCAGAAAGATATTACCAAGGAGGGGGCACAGATACATACAGTCATTTTGCACTCTGTCTATGAATGAGTTCTCCTGCCTGGAAGCAGGTTTATGTCAAAGTTTTGAATCCAGTAACTTTTCAGTCCAGTAATTTGCTGTATCTCAGAAAGTTTCTTTAGCCTGGAGGTTGAAACAGCTTTCTGTGGATTCCTAACCTCAGCTCTGAGTGCACCGAAGATGTGGTTTCCGACATCGACGGTTCATCTCTGTGGGTATAGTTTCATATATCACTTTTTCTCAGGGATTCCCCTGAGGTGGAGTTGCTTTTTCTGGCCACTCGTTTCCTAAGCCCACATCTCATTTGTGCTGACTCAGCTCCTCACAGGGAGCAGGAGACTGAAGCAATCCAGGTTATAAATGGTGATTTAAACAAACATCAAACCAAAATCATTCTGATGATCCAACTTAGATTTCAGTCCATAAACGTTTTTACTGTTCTAAGTGATGGGGCAGCATGCTGTAACCAGCAGGGATGTCTTGGGCTGGCTTTACTGCTGAGAAAAAATATGTAAAATTGCACCTGAAGTATCTAAATTTCCTCCTCTGCAACTGAGATAATAACATTTGCTAACCCCAGTGAAGCATACTGAAGTAAATTACTTAAGATTTATGAAGCCTTTGAAAAATCCTGTAAGTTAGATGCTCTAGTGGGACAAATCATTATGACTCTCACAGGGAGAAAGATAACCATTATATAAGATTGGTGTTTGCAAGTGAGTCTAATTCAGACATGAAATGATTCTGGATTTATCAAGACTAGGAAAATGATTTAGGTTTCATAGCTATCAGTTAATTAACATGATTTAAACATAATTTTGCACTTAACAGAGGTGTTTTAACATTTAATTAGTATGATGGGCATATCAGTTGGTGGTGATGAATATTTAATATTGAACACCAAATAATCAGTAGATCTTCCACAGTGTTCGATAAAGAGATTGGCAGTGAATTATGAAGAAACAGTTATTTTTAAATAGAGATGACCTAGCACTTATATTTTAGAGCCGGATCACAGCTTTTCTGAAGTTCAGGAGTGTTCAGATTTGAATTACTGTCATTCCATCTTTTAAAACAAACATTGTTTTCTCTTAATTAATCCCTCTTGGAAAATCACTGTTGTATATATGCCATTGTAAGAAGTACCCAGTGATGCAAGAGATCTGGTGTGATTCATCCATGTATTTGCAAGGAGAGTGCCCATCAATACACTGAGATAAACAAATAGCCCATGTCATTTTACCAAAAGACAAGCTTCTCCACCAACTTTGCAGTGAGGTCTGACTTGCTGTGCTTATTTCTGATTCCTGTCAAAGCTGAGGCAGCTTTGTAATGAGATAGATAATTAGCTGCAGTCTCAGTTTTGTTTATTCCTGAGCAGGTAATTTGTTTTTACCACATTCTGGCTTCAGATCCTCTCTTGAGTTGACCATAGATTTATACAGGGAATGTCCCCACAAGGAAATACATTCTCACGTATTTTCAGGACCTCAAGCAGTACTCAGTCTTCCACACCGTTGCCCTTCACACTAATGGGTGGTGCTGATGGTGTAGGTAGGTGAGTCAGATATAAGGTCCAGTGGGGATGTATCTTCTTTACTCTAGTGAAACTGGGTACTTACACACTCATACAAGGAGATGGCTTTCTAAAGCAGGTTTAGCTTTGTAACCTTGCCATGGTAAATCACATGTTGCACTGCAAGAAATACGAAGCGGGGAGGGGACAGAAAAAAGAACAAATAAAAGGTGAGCAAATTTGGGTACTACAGGTTCTAAAGCCAGCTACCCAGCTACCCAGGAAAGGTTTGCCGTGCAACTCTCACTTGCTTATGAAAATACCTGGGACAAAACATAACTGGGGCAAAAGATCTCTCTAAAGCTTTTCAGAATTTTAAGTGAACTGCAACACTTCTCGGTTTGGCAGGCTGTTTCTCTCACTGAGCAGTGGCGTAGGTACCAGAAACTGCTCTCTAGTTATTTCATCCCAAAGGTAGACTAATTCAGGGCTTTTTTGTCTCCAGCTGTTCCTCCCCTGGGTTTGCCATGTCAGGGGAAGGAGTGGACAGAAAATATCCATGAAGGGTAGTTAAAACACTCCTAGCTATTTTGTTCACCTGAGGACGAGTCACCCAGCATCTTCCCTGGAATAGGTCCCAGCTCCTAAAGCTACTGCAGAAAGATCCTTATGAGGCTGCAAACCACTACTACTGGAGCATCGTGCTTTTACACCTGCTTCAGGTCCTGTCTTCTCTACATTCTCCTGACCCACACAACATACCACATTACCCAGAAAGCACTTTAGGCTTTGTAATTTCTGTAGTCAAGGTGTGCTGTGAAGGACAGATACAGCATCTGGCAGCTTTTTCCCACTCCTTGGAGAACCTCTGCTAAGCCAAAGGGGTGCCCTGCCCCGAGCCATCCGTCTTTCTCCTAGCCTCGCCATCCTGCACCTTCTCTCTCTGGGTGGACTCCTGGCACAGAACAAGCGAGCACTGTGAAAAAAACCTCTGTATCCAAGAGGAGAGATCCTTGCAAACAATACCCCTGCACTGTTCAGATCCAAAGGAAAGGGATGGAGAAGGCACACCACAGCCTTGATATGGAGGTGGATTATATTCACGTGTGTCTGCCAGTTTAGCAGGATCTGCTGTTGAGTGGCAGGGGTGACTTTGTCTGTTGCAGGTGCCGTGCTATTACTTTCTGATCTTTTGTGCAGCTCACGAGGCCACTTTCTTCCTTCTCCTACAGATTCCCCGGGTGTTCCTCCAAGTGCCAATGCTCATCATCTTTTCAGAGGGTTCAGCTTCGTTGCTTCTAACTTGGTGCAGGAGCCAGCACAGCAAGAGGTGCACAAAATCACCGTCCATCCAATTGTGCAGGTACTGATGCTGATGTTACACTTCACATCTGGTGGGCAGATACATATGTGCATGGTGTATTTAAACTGCCTCGGCATTCTCACTGGTATTTCACAGCTACCCAGTGTAGGTAGGAGGTGTTTACATGCAGCATGTAGGAGGTGGAAAATGAGAATTTTTTCCCAAAGGCTTTTACCTTTAAGTTCACATTCTCCACAGCCTTTACAAAGGACATAGGAATCGCACCTTACAACAACTGAAATGCAAAGTACTTCTGAATACCTGAAACACTATTCCAGTTGTGCATGCAGGACAGGTAACGAAGTGTTGTTTCTCCAGTGAATGCATGTCATTCTCAACAGTTTTGTCTTGGATTATATGATACGGTCTGTGTTGGCAAAGGGGCTCAATGAACTGCTGCTGTAGGCTCCCACAGACACGGAACCCAAGCTCCTGGGTGTGAGAGGCCACCGTGTTCCTGCTGCTATTGCACAAGAGCCTGCGTGTACTCACAACCCAGAGCGGCTTGACGGGGGAATGACACTTGCCAGACACTTCGTTCTTTGCTGCCATTCCCCTACAACATGCTCTCCAGTTACTGTCATTTAAACCAGAAATAAATTGCTACAAATGGCTCAATACAGCAGAGGAACAGTGAATTAGGAGAAAGAACTGGGCTGCTCAAAGGTGCAGCAAATTCTCCCACAGGGAAAAAGTTCCTCTCCTACCCACAGCCAGAGGTATACATGCCTCAAAGAGAGACCCCCTTCCTGTGGTTTTCGTCATTTTCATCCCAATTTTAATAATTTACAGTGGAATATGTCATGTTCTTAAAGATTCTTTTAATGCAACAGGAAGTGAACTGTTACCCAAGCAATTACATCCCAGAAATTTTATATATATATTCCTGTGGTCTGCTTTGTAAAAATGTATTGAATGTTAACACAGGCATGTCTTATAATTTAGAAGATTCTGTGTGGACTTTGCTAGTGATGTTAACATTTTTAGACAGAGGATCCTAGAGGATTTTTAGAGCTGCTGGTCATTTCTTGAGGCCTGGGATGGAATTTGCAGCAAGGCCTCAGATTTGGGTTTCACCATCTAACCAGTCCACCTGCCCAGACATTTTCCAAAGGGCATATGAATCAATGATGCCGTAGTTCATTCTATATCCTTCAATAAATAAAATTACAAATTTTAAAGTATTTTGCTACTATTTTCACTAGTAGTATATTTTTTTAAATTAGGTTGGCTTAAAATAGTAACTTTTCTCTCACAGAGAAATCATAATTAAATGTTATCCTGGACAAGACATCCAGTGGTCTAGAGGCACACCACATACGTGGGGTATCTGTTTTGAAAATTGTGAAGCTAGTAATGGTTTATGAGTTATCTGGCCCCTCAGTAATTAGGAATGTTACAAGGTATGTGGGTTTGTCAGGGGATTTGGGCCCATAGTTTCCTGTGACTTTCTTATAGGAGGTGATTGTCTGCATTCCATAAATAGTTTAGAAAATCACTGCTATCTTGCCACTACTTCTACATGGACAGCTCTGTCTTCCAGACTGGAAGAAGGTAAAAAAGGGAGGGGACACACTTGTTTGAGTAAAGAGCTTCAGGTTTTTTTTAATTGGACTTAGAAAAACTGCTAAGGACAAGAGAGCTCTGTGGAGTTTATTAAGACGAGGCTAGTCCTTGCTTTTACATAGCCATGTCCTGATTACCTTGTTTCTTTTGACTTTCCCTATAGCAGTTACATGGGAACAACATTCACTTTACAGACGGATATGAGATCAAGGAGGACATCGGAATTGGCTCCTATTCAGTGTGCAAGAGATGTGTTCATAAAGCTACAGAAACAGAGTTTGCAGTGAAGGTAAGAAACCCTTCTGGTAGATGCCAGAAGTGTGGTTGAGACTGCTCTGCCAGCCCGGGCAGCACTGCGGTCAGTGGGTATTTTGTTGGCTTATTCCTTGTTGGCAGGTGTTGCTTGTGTTTTTTTCTCTTTTGGAACATGACAGGTTTCATGATAAGCCTGACATTATTTCTCACACCTTAATCTCATCAAGTAAAATTCCTGGATGGGAAAAACCTTTACAGTCTTGCATGGAAATCCTGCTAATCATTTCAGCTATGCTCCTTGCAAACTAGATAAGATTTTTAACAGATCCTACACTGAACCATCATAAATAAACAAAATAACATGTAAAATGATTGCAAAGTTGAAATAGCATTTTGTTCTTCTTTCTCAAGTTATTTAGTTCTGACTTTTTTTATTGTAATTAGACAGTGAAAACCATGATCACCTTCAAAAACTTAGATTTCCTTTTGCCTCCTTGACATTCAACACCAACATGCTACACAAAGGAGCAAAAGGCAATCTTCAGCGGAGATTTAAAAGATTAATTCAGTGGAATTTAGTTGGATATTAAAGACAAGTCAGTGAACTTCCGACTTGGTAAAGCAACACTACATAAAAGAGCATCACCACAGCTGCAGAGGCCAGGAAGCTGCTAGGATGTAGGTATGAGGGAACCTTTTCCGATAGGGAAGAATTTCAGTAGAACTGCTTTGGAAGGTCATGCTCAGAGGACTAAGTCGCAATCTCTATTAAATGCTGTCGAATAAACAGTATGCAGCTATTACAGAGGGCAGAACAGACCAATGTATGTGGCAAGTGGTTGTGAGGTTATGGCTCAGAGGAAGAGTTCCAAACATTCAATTGTCTTTAACAAAAAGGTGTAGCAATTAAAGCACTCATATGTTAGAAAAGTATTTCATGTTTTTGTTCTTGTACCAAAAAGAGACAAGATTGGATTAATGAGGAATTAGTATAATGAATGTGAAAAGACACAGACAGTTAAGTCAGATCCTTTCATTCTGTATGTCCTCATGGGAACAGATTGCTTAAATGAGCATAAGACAAAAAGTAGCTCCTTGAAATTAGTACATAGAGAAATGTATTTACCAAACTTGCAGTAAATGAGGGATTCTAGCCAATTGCCACTCTACTTTTCTTATTTTAAAATTTTAGAAAAGTTATGTAAACTTAGCTTATGAATGAGATGGTATCTTTGCTATTAAATGAGATGATGAGAGCTTACAAAAGTGATCCAAACTGCAGTCCATGAGATAAATGAGATGCAGGTAGTCAATAGAATAATATTAAACCTTTTATTCAGTCTTATTTTCCATTACAAGACTGGTGATAATGCAGTATCCATGAGTGTCCATGAAAGATTTGGTGTCTTCCCATGGTAGCCACAAAAATCTGGAAACAACTAATAACTGACAATCTGTTGATGTCACTGTTCAAATAACGGTTGATTTTTCTAGGCTACACCGTAATTAGGAGCATGGACCTACCAGCAGGTCTGCAGGCTGAAATGGAAAAATTAGATTTTTCCAGTGTCCAGGTCATTTTTCAACAGATGGCATTATGTATAGTAGGTATGGGTTCTGTGTAATTAAATTACATCTGTGATGAACAAAATGTATGTTAAATTAAAGTAATAACTTTGGTGGGTTTCTGTTTGTACTGTCTTTCCAGCACATTGAGTGCTGCCTCGTTGATTATTTTTCCTACCAATATATTCATTTTACTTTCCTTTCAATTTTATTTTTATTTCATGTGAAGATTATATCATTTTGTTATCAAAGTATCTCACTTTCATAAAGATTGCACAATGCCACCCATTTCAAGTAATTAGATGGCACAGGAGTTGCAAAAGATATTATCATAATTATAGATCGGTCCCTTTTGACATGCATCCTTTAACTCTCTCTATAAAAATCACTGTAATTAGACTCTTTTGATTTCTTTCAGTAAGTATAATTTTCTCAGTGCTCCCTAATACATGACATTCACAGGAAAAAATATCTGCAGTGATAGTTTGTATGATAGGCAGCAGCCCCATTTGCCTGGCACCACCTCATTAAAAGCTCCCTCTAAGATGAACTGCCGACATGTCAGAAAGCATCATCCCATTTCCCCAGGGGAAGGTGGTTATAGCAAAGGAGTTGAGGAAATGACGTGGTGGCATCACTGTGGGAAGACACACATCATGTCACTGGGTAAAGAATCCCCCCATGGAGACTGCCACTCACCAGGACTTATTTACTATTGCTGTGTAGTGCCACACTGAGACCACAGAGTACCGAGCCAGAGTAACTTCAGCCAGAGCTACAGCCAGAAAATCCACCCAGAAAAACAAAACCTTTCCTAGCCCAGAAGCAGAATATATTTGTTAAAATGCAAAACATCTCATTCCTTTTCCTTTTGCTGGCCATCTGTGACTAATTGGGGGCCATCTTACAGAGATAATTACATGTCTAGCAGTGCAAAGAAGTTCTTTGCTGGTGTTGTAAAAGCACTTGAACAGATCTGGAATTTCACTCATTTCAGAGTTCAGTGAGACTATGCACGTCACTCACTGCTGTGCTTTTGGAAGTCTCCCTAGACACCTCTGCACCTGCAGATATCTAACTGCCTTTGTAAATCCAATCACTGAACCAGCAGAAGAGAATTTTCTTACAACCTATTCCCTCTTCTTCCGTGTCATCTGTAAAAATGAAATGCTAATAATAAACTCTAAGTCTATTTTAGATGTGCCCTCAGGCTCCTAAATGCAATATTTAAGAATTCAGGCTTATATCTCCACTTCTGAGAGCATTTCAATACCATGCAATAGAAAACATTGTAGACAGACAGATTTCCTGCAAACTGAGTCTACCCTGAAACAAGTAGCCACCTACCTGGGTCAGTGCGGGTAGATGTTGGTTTAGCAAGTCCTTGTATCATATTCTACTGTATGTACATACTCTGAGGTACTTTTAGGATTTTACTCTTAGGCTTCCTTTCCATCTCATTCCCAAGGGAAAAAAAGTATAAAGTTATGAAATACAAGTAAGTGTATTGTTCATTCTTCTGAATGCTTTATAAGACTCTGGTAGGAAGAAGAGAGATGGGGGAAAAAAGAGTGTTTCTCCTCTGACGGACCTCTAACATGTTGGAGATTCTTCTGCTAGAATATTGATCATCCTGACTACAGCAGGCATAATAATTTTTAGTAGCAAAGGGAACTGGCATCATCGATCACAGTTACAAGCTTCACGAGGGTCTAAATGTAACAGTGAGGTCAGAAGCAAAGGCAAATCAGATGAAACTATTTCAGTCACATCAGTATCTAGAGAAAATAAGTCAATTAAGTAAAAGAATGATGCTAGAGCAGATGGGCAGGATTTCTGTGGATGGAAGAAAGTCTGCAATGGAAGCCTAAACAGATTAAGAGCTCTTGTTTGGAAAACAAACAAAATGCTACAGTTCAGAGTTCTTGGTGAATCAGATTTTTCAAAGCCTGCCAGAGATTCAATACAATTAGAGTATTCCAAAAGTTTTTCTTTACTTAAAACCATTGCGCTGGTTTCAAGCTTGGACCCCAACTTGTAGTGAGGCTTTCAAGCTGGATTTCAGATGTGCTTCTTACTGATGCCAGATTCAGTAATTTTGCAAAGGACCTGATTACATCCTACTTTTTCTAAAGATTTCTCTATTTAGATTGACTCCTTACCCTCAGGAGAGATTACTGGTGGATAATAGCCAAGTAGAAACTGCTGCTGCCGTGGCCTATTCTACCCCCAGTACAGTAACTGCCCCAAACATTGCAGAGGAGGGTGGGATAGGTGCCACCTTCAGCAGCTTGATGCCAACTGTTTTCTTCTCCAGGTCAAAAGAGTATCTAACTGGTTACATCTTATGGATTTTTAGTCCTTCCATGCTGTTAGAGCCAAGGCGAACCACTGGGTAAAAGGACAGGGTATACATTTCTCCCTCCCTTGAAGGGGAAAAACATACAGTAGAGATAGTCCTGAATGACAAGTCCAATTTTGCAGGTGCCAATATTACAGTGGAATTTGGATCAGGAAACACAAGTGAATTGCATGACTTTTTCCTATCTCTGTAATGCACTAACCAACTATTTGGCTCCAAATGTTCTACAGCTGTGAGCAAAGCCAAATTTTGCGGTCTATGTCTGCCTCTGGGATACAGGTTAGTTTATGCTAGAGTCCTAGTAAATCCTACAGTTCATATATAATTATGGTAATTACAAAGCACTGAAAGTGCATCTATCTTGGCATATTTTGGTACATGCAGACTGGGGAGAAGGTGCCTTTTAATTAGCTATAAAAATGCAATACCAGCGGAGAAGTGATGTCAACATGCTATCAGTAAATAGAAGTCAGTAACTTGTGAGAGCTGTTTTTAGCAGGCCTGTGTAATCAGACTTGCTACATACCTCTATTTATTTGCTAATAACAGTGACATAGTCACCAAAAGCTGTATGAATTCCACAGTTGTTTCATAATTTCTTTAAACTTCATTTTCCTCTTCCATTGATGTTCTCAGTCTTGGTTTGCTTGGGTTTAGGTGGTTGGTGTAAGTAGATACAATATCACGCTAATCTGAAGGCAGGAGGTTACACAGTGGTATTTAGTTGGCTCTACAACATTTTCTGCATAATCTATATTATGTTTATGTCAGGAGTTTAGTGCTGAATGCAGAAAGCGTGAATAACACAAAAAAAAAGGCAGTCTTCTAAGATTGACTGCAGCGTGGTGCGCTCTTTTTCAATTCTTTTATAGAAAATAGGAATCCCAAACACATGTAGCTTTATTTACTGAAACAGGAAGAGGGGAAAAAAAAAAAGAAGAAAAAAAATCAGTCCAAAGGTCATCAAATCTCCTTGATAGTTAAGGTGTCTGTAGCTCTAGAGACATTTGCCGAGATTTGTTTCTCCTGAACCAGGGAAAGTCACTAAAGTGACTTTCCTCTAAAGTGAAATTTTCAAGGGAGGGTTTGTGTCTATTTTTGTCTGT